TGATTTTGCGAGATCAGCGAGAGTTGCCAATCTCTGTATTTATAAACGTCTCTGCTAAAATGCTGCTTAATATGCAACAATCCAATCTGATATAAAACCAGATCTTTGATTCCATGCACTTCCCGATACTCTAAACGTTGACTGGGAGTGGAATCAAAGATCTGGTTTTAATCAGATTGGCAACAATCTGAATCAGAAAAGTAATTCGATCTATTACTTAACGAACGCTTGTGTCATTAATGAATAATGGATTTACCCAGTATATTTCTGTTACTTATCCAATACAAAATAACAGACTGGAGACATTGTTAATTACCAAACACGGAGTAACAGGTCGTGACAGATCTCAGTCGACTTATGACACTGACGTAATATTGATGAATGTGATTGTCTTCGTCACTATTAAAGTGATATTGTTCAGCAATCAAGTGCATTCTGAACTGGATTGCAGATAAATCGAATATAGCGGCGTGTAAGCGTGTAATGAATCTTGTCCGTAATCCTGCACATAAATTATATGTAAATCAATACATGGTTTAGAGTTTGTGTGCTTCATTTCATTCGTTGTACTGCTCATTGTTACAAATATATTTACCATCGTATGGCATTGCCACTTTATAACCCTACCACATTCAGTTGGCATTCATATAGTCTATGAATGTCATGGACCGATTGTTGACGTCATCATTATTATGACGTCATAATTATTAGGTTGGATACCACTGACCCTCCCTGGGCGATGGCTGTTCTATTCATTGAACAAGGATAAACGATACACACATGATTTTTACTAAATAGTAAATGTAATTGAGTTTTCTATGAGATGAACAGATTCCAAAAATGGTAAATATAAGTATTGAACTGCTTTCAGTTGGCATTCATAGGAAAAATGAATTCCAACTGGACAAAGGCAAATCCAACATGAAGCGCTAGCGCGCTTCATTGAATGCCTATGTCCAGTTGGCATTAATGTTACCTATGAATGCCAACTGAAAGCAGTTCAATGCATAAATATACATTGCAGTCGTAGATTGTGATAGTTCATTGTATCCTTATGGTTTTACACGTAGATTGGTTCAATGTTCACCAATTAAAGGGAGGTTAAAAGTTGTATGGTTAATTTGCAGAGATCATCCTGGAGGCGGCCATGGGGCCATTGACCCCTCTAAAATGAAATTGACCCCTGCATGTTTCTATTTTCTTTTACTTTTATATAGAATGGACCCTCTTAATTTTGATATTGTCTAAAAATTGCTGAAATGGCCCACTGCTCTCAAATTCCAGGACCTTCCCTGAATTTGTGATATAATTTCCCAGTTGTGATCTTGAGACCAAAAAAAATATCACAATTGTTCCGACAATGTGACTATTCTGTGTCATTTATACAAAAATAATTGGCACCTACAAATTGCGAAACTAATCGATACGAAGATAGCCAAATTGTAACAGAACGAAACGATGATAAAAAAAATGAAGGTCAATTCACCGCGACATCCGTACTTTAAGTTCCAAAGACATCTGAATGTCATATTTGGTTTGTTTGTGTTTTACGGTCATTTAAGGACGTGTCATGTTTTGGTGGTAAAGGCTTCTTACCCGGAACCCAGTGGATGAGGGCTGTTTCGAGAAACGTATACGTACTTGTAACCGTTCTTGTCATCAGAAGTCTAGACGTAATGTCAAGTAAACCATGGTTTGATAACGAATGTAAACGTTTACGTAGAATATATAGAAACGCTTTAAGATCTTTTAATATATGTAGAACTGTTAGCAATAGAGTAAACTTAGTTCGTGAAAAGAAGAAATACAAGACCTACGAGGCGAGGGTGAAGAGCTTATTTTCGGAATGAAGGGCGATATGTTAGATTTTTTGAGAAAAAATGATCCAAAAGTTTTTTTATAGTAGTTTTTCTACACGTAAGACTTTGTGATTCCGGAAATCTGGTTTTAAATGATTTTTACCAATATTTTAAAGATATTGCCAACAATTCAGTTGACTTTTCTCCCGTCAATGTTGAGCAAGTTGAAGTTGATAACGAATGTATTTACACTGAGCTTGATGACGATTTCAGTCTTGATGAATTATTAGTTTCAATGAAAGGGTCATCCAAAGGTAAATCCGCCGGTCTAGACAATGTCATTAATGAATATTTTATTGAGTATATAGATGTTTTTGCACCAGTTTTCCAGTAGTTGTTTAATACCATATATAACAGGTAGGATACTTTCCTAAAGCTTGGTCAGAAGGAGTTGTTATACCTCTGCATAAAAAGGTTGATAAAAACGGCGTAAATACTTATAGGGGAATCACGTTAGTAAGTCATATGGCCAAGTTCTTTACCTCACTCTTGAATAAACGAATGTTAAAGTGGAGCGAAAGCGAGAATGTAATTACAGATGCTCAGTTTGATTTTAAGCCCGGGAGTGGTACCAGAGATGCAATTTTTGTACTTAATACCTTGAAATAATTCTTATGTATCCTGTATTTTTAGAATTAAGAGTATCGTATATCAAGCCATATTATCGTATTCGTCCTTCTTTGTTTAAATTAATAGAGCTATTGTCTAGCAATAATTTTAAACTTATTAGAAATTTGCGTAAGTACTTGATTCAAGCAACTGTTAAGAGAAGTCGTATGTTATGAAATATAAGCTGTATCAAAGTCTTGCTATAAACCTTTTGTTACTGTATAATGCGATTGAGATCCATGTCTTTTACTTCACAATGAGTTATAATCTCATTTCATTATATAATATATAGTACTCGTTCTACCTTCATGTTGAGGTTGTATGATTGACTTTGAAGTTTTGTCATTTCCTAGAAATTCGGTTAGATTAAGGCTTTATTTGCGTTATTTCATAAACAACTAAATTATGCTTCATGAGAGTCCGCTAAGTTACCTTAGGAAAACCTTAAAGTTTTCCCCAACTTATGACTAGTTCATGAATTTGTAATTATCATATATGGAACTGAATCTATAGTATTGAATATGTTCTCCGCCATTGTACAAGATATTTGTAACGTATTCATCTATATGTATATTTCTGTACGCCTATATGCAATATGCATTAGGTAATACATTGAACTGAGGGCTATATATAGTGATAAAGTAGGTCAGACGCCTTAACCACTGATTCACCGCGGTCCGTTACGGTTAGAGATATAACAACCCATATATCTCCAACTATATATAACTATATATAATCAGAAAAACATTTCAAAGTCATTGTGATGGTTAAATATATATATATGAAAAGAGTTTCTTCGACTTCCCTAGCGCTTTCTCCTCCTTAGAGGTTCATCAGGGGAACTGTTTATTCATGTTGACAGGACAACAACACAACACAACACAAAAAGTATAACGATATATAGATATTTATCTTCTTTTATAGACGATACAAAAAGAGACGGTATTACAAAACATCTGTCTTGTTTCTTCAGATTTGTAAACGAAGAGTCCTTGTCACCACTCTACATTTTATTCTTAATGAATCAATATTGTCAAGTAAATGATTGATGTGTACTGTCCATTTACCATAAAAAATGTTTGGAACAACAACTTTTTATCAAAAGATAATGCACATGTATTTGGGGTGTTACGCCAAGAGTGTATAGCACGATATATATATATTGATTTAAAATTGCTGAAAAAGCCCACTGCTCTCAAATCCTAAGAGTTTCCCTGTCGTGGGTTTTAATGTGACGTCACGTGCGTTTCAGAGATACAGAATGGAACAGTGTTTACCACACCCGAATCAACCTTTAGTCTCTTAAAGCTTATGACACGGCCTTAAGTAGTTTGAATTAAGCTAATGTAAGACCGTGTAGCTATACACAGAGACAAGGTCATATCGATTTATTACAGAGACATCGAAAGGACAGTCTGGTATCAATACAATACTGATCTCAACAAGTCATTTTCTGTAACACGATTTTAAATAACTGGATTATGACAGAAATGTCCCACCATTTATTTACCCTAGCCTGAATTGAATACTACGTTTAAAATTCGCATTTCGTAAATTGACGTTCTCTTTCGTTTCGTCCATTTCGTTTCGTTCTATTTCGCTTCGTTCCGTTTTTCTCCTCTAAAATGGTAGTTTCTATACTCCCGCTTAACGCTCACCAATTTGGGAGTGGGACGACTGAACCAGCCCGTTGTCAGTATCATGTGACCGGGTGGGGTGTCCTGCTGGGTGTCTTCGGCTGTATGTTTCAGTGATCATGAGGTAGCACTATAAAGTCGGCACCAGTAATAGTTCGGCGCTCATAGGCGGATGGTGAAGCTGTTTAAAGGACGTGTTCCACGCTCCCGTATACGTGCTGTATGTAACTGACAGCCTATCCGCATCTAAGGAGCTGACCGACCTTAGGGCGTGATCTGGACGGGCAAGGTCATTTCGAATCACCGCGAGGGCCCGGTAAGCTGGAGACTTACCCCCTCAAGACGCCAGAACACGGGCTCCTCCCGTGAAAAGGAGTCGATAAACCCATCAACCAACCAACCAACCTAGTTCGGCGCTATTACAAGGAGACAAATACGAACATATCGCAGCCTCCCAAAACACACACACACACACGCATACACTACACGCATGTATCTTGCACACAGGGGAGACCGTTCTTAATGACCATAGCTGTTGAACATGATAGGCCATGGTGCTCGTCTTTATAATTATTGAGACGTGATAAACAGCTAACAGGGTATCTGAATACACAGGCTTCTTATAATCAAAATATTCACCAGAAAATAATCAAACACATATGTGTGTGTATTAAAATATGAATATTTTCTACATTTCAACAAAATATATTGATTCGGAGTTGTTTTTTATCGATGTTGTTCTAACCCTTGCATTATGGGTCATTAAACAAATGGCTGCTAATATTAACATACTATATTCGATAATCAATAACATGTACGTATGGCTCGAGTTAATACATACGGGTCTCCTTTGCCATACGTCCGTGTATACATACATTTATACAAAATTCTTGTAGTTAGTTGTTTATAAGAATTAACAGTATAGACGATATAACTCGTGGATAATTTTGGCGATCAATGACTAAAGCACAATGATCCAGACCGACGTTTAAAGGTGTGCCCTTGTAATACCACGGGATCAGATAAGTCCAAGTCCGTGGTAGTACCGAGGATCACTGTTTCTTGCCGTAGCCGAACACGATTTCTTTGTCTAACTTACGAATTGGATATGTTTGACTGGTGTCGACAGTAGCTTTATTGTTGAGTTAAAAAGACTCCAAGTCTTCTTTCTTTTATACTGACGTGGCGTCACATGGTTTGTCCCGCATGAGTAGCCTGTATTGTACGTACCCGTAGTACTAAGATTAGACTGTGATACGGAGAGAAAGTTATACTGGAAAATGATCCCCATTGATCTAAAAATTCAGTCGCAATATGAACATTATTTTTCACGGATGGTTTACAAACTGGAGAATATCAGATGCCAAAGGCGTGAATCTGAGATGGAGAGAAAGGACCTCGCGAGCAGATTTATTGATCCATGTACAGGTAAATATTGGGGATAAAATTGACGTAATGGGCAAAGTAAGTTTATTAATAGCATGAATAGTTAATAACACATTAGGTCACAATCTCTGATATCTAGTTGTACGGGGACAGTGGACGAGATCCCTGGAATTATTGACCCACCGCACGCGCTCAGTGCGCTAGAAGACGCACATATATATATACCAGCGTCCGACTGCCGTGTGATGTATTAGTCAGACAATCAGATTTATTGACGTAGATGTGAAGTTGACGGATGTGACAGCTGTAGGGTTGACACACACACACACACGTAAACGTGTATACATGGACCCGAGGACATCTTTCACATGAATACCCATTGTACTCGCTTACAATACGTGTGCTGGATGTGTATACACGCTCCTGGTCAAGATCGGGATATTTACACTGTGATTTAAGCACACTGTAAGTATGTAACCCTATACACGGTAGTGTTCATTATGCAATCTTTCTATTCCTGAGACAGTCAGATATCACGGTATTCACCTGATGTAGTTTTATCTTAAAAATTATGTAAATTATCATAATAAGATTGGTATTGGTCTTTTGTGATATGAAAATACGATCCGTGATAAGTTAGCTGTTGACATAAAACTGTATGATGCGTAACAAATTTGACAACTTATAATGAACCCATATTGTGTATTCAGCTTAGAGCTACGTTTTTTCATACGTTTGTTATCTTTATGCAATCTTCAGTATTCGTGTTATACCATTTGCACAATAAAAACAACAGACAGTCAAATTTTAGTAATTACATATATCCTGTAGCTATTGCGAAATTCGGCTAGTTAACCCAACCCCTACCAGGTAAAACACTCCCTCCTACTTCCGTCCCTAACAATGTATTGTTGTAACCCCCCCCCACACACACACACACACTCCTACTTCCGTCCCTAAACTGTATTTGTATTGCTGTAACCCCACCCTCAAAAGCTTAAGGGTGATGTCTACGTGTGACTGACAAAGATTTGTAACGAGAGTCGTATGCCCGACACGATCTAGTAGCCAGCTGGTATGTCGGACTTTTTAAAACAGGTATGTCGACGTAGCTAGGGTTACAACTGAATTGTTACAGTATACAGCAAAGACAAGGACATTCCCAGTCCTAGGCGTGCAATAAAAACAAAGGGTCGCACACAAACTAATGGATATTTGCGAAATGTGGAAAATTGGCTTTTGTTAGGAAAGACTATATATAGCCATGATCCCATCTCACTTCGTACATAATGTCAAAGTACATTATAATGCCAACGAGAGGCCCCAGCTCAGTGAAATATGTATGATATCCAAAGCACATCATTCTCATTGACGTATAACCTTTTCTTTCCAATATCAATTAACCTCAACTGTCTATACCGTGTATCTCATAATGCCTCACTTAACAGNATTCATATATATATTATTACGAGAAATTATACCATCTTATATTCATATTATAAGGTCAAATCCTTAGGACCTTTTTTTATCTAAGTAATTAAGATCTATACTAGAGGACCCCATTGGAAATAAGCTGCCACCCAGCTTTCATGGGATATCCTAGGTTAAAGCTTAGTCAAACAGATACATTGTAATTATAGTGCTCCAAAATTTGTGATATTAACTTTGATGTGATAAGCTAAATACTGTGATAAATCTGTGATTATTATGCAATTGAAATCTGTGATCTTATGTGATATTTGTACCTGTATCTTGCTTTTACCGAATACATATTATTATTATTATTATTATCTGCCTGTACCGTGTATCCCATCATGCCTCACTTAACATCATCCCTCTATGCCGTATATTCTAAAATGTCTAAATACTTTCCCATCTGCCTGTACCGTGTATCCCATCATGCCTCACTTTCCATCATCCCTCTGTGCCGTATATTCTAGCATGTCTAAATAATTTCCCATCTGCCTGTACCGTGTATCTCACCATGCCTCACTTTCCATCATTCCTCTGTGCCGTATATTCTAGCATGTATAGATAATTTCCCATCTGCCTGCACCGTGTATCTCACCATGCCTCACTTAACATCATCCCTCTGTGTCGTATATTCTAGCATGTCTAAATAATTTCCCATCTGTCTGTACCGTGTATCTCACCATGCCTCACTTTCCATCATCCCTCTGTGCCGTATATTCTAGCATTTTTATATAATTTCCCATCTGCCTGTACCGTGTATCTCCCCATGCCTCACTTTCCATCATCCCTCTGTGCCGTATATTCTAGCATTTTTATATAATTTCCCATCTGCCTGTACCGTGTATCTCACCATGCCTCACTTAACATCATCCCTCTGTACCGTGTATCTCATCATGCCTCACTCAACATCATCCCTCTGTGTCGTATATTCTAGCATGTCTAAATACTTTCCCATCTGTCTGTACCGTGTATCCCATCATGCTTCACTTTCCATCATCCCTCTGTGCCGTATATTCTAAAATGTCTAAATAATTCCCCACCTGTCTGTACCGTGTATCTCATCATGTCTCACTTTCCATCATCCCTCTGTGCCGTATATTCAAAAATGTCTAAATAATTTCCCATCTGTCTGTACCGTGTATCTCATCATGCCTCACTTTCCATCATCCCTCTGTGCCGTATATTCTAAAATGTCTAAATAATTTCCCATCCCTCTGTACCGTGTATCCCATCATGCCTCACTTTCCATCATCCCTCTGTGTCGTATATTCTAGCATGTCTAAATAATTCCCCATCCCTCTGTACCGTGTATCTCATCATGCCTCACTCAACATCATCCCTCTGTGTCGTATATTCTAAAATGTCTAAATAATTTCCCATCTGCCTGTACCGTGTATCTCACCATGCCTCACTTAACATCATCCCTCTTTGCCGTATATCCCATAATGCTGTTTCAATTGTTACCTCGATACCTAGTATGGCAGATTTTAGCTTCGGACTAGAGGGAATTTCCCTTTAGCTCAGTGGCAATGCGTCCGACTAGGAATCTCAGGGGCGTTTCTAGGATATTTGAAAGAGGGGTCGTAGAATCTTTGTTTTGCCGAGCGGAGCGAGGCGAAAAAATGTTTTGACCTTTTTTTTGCTAAAAAACATAAAAAAATATTTTGAAATGCACTAATGTAACGGTTCCTGACTTGGAGCATGTATATTTTATAGTAAAAGTGTCAGGGTGTTTAAGTGTTTAATTAATGAATATGATAAATTGCCATATTCAATACAATATTAGCAGATTAAGATATAAAAAAAGGGGGGGGGGGGCGTACGCCCAAAACGCCCTCACCTTGACCCGCCCCTGAATCTAGGGATCTTGGGTTCGATCCCCGGTGGAAACACACTCTTCTCTGTCCTGTTACAAATGGTGTCTGTGACCCTTCCTGCGGTGATAGGTAGTTGTAACCTGGGTTATGGTGTTCGAGTGCGAACACATTTGAAAAGCGGGAAGGAGTGTTGCAGTTTTAACTTTACACAATTGTTCAGTCGTCTTTTAGCTTCGAGCCAGATGGAATTTCCCTTTAGCTTAGGGAAGAGCGTCCGACTATCCGAGAATCACACTATTCTCTTTCCTGTTACACTTATATCCCATAATGCCACATGTTACCACATCCCCTATAATTTGTATCCCATATCATGCCGGATATAACTTGATTCCCTGTGTGCATCCTATTATGCTTCACTTTATATCATCCCTCTGTACAATGTATCCCATCATGCGTAGCATTACAACCATCCCTCTACACAGCTTATCCCTTAATGCCTTACACGTTGCCTCATCCCAGACACACTGTACAGTGTATCCAAACATGCGTAGCATTACAACCATCCCTCTAGACAGCGTATCCCTTAATGCCTTACGTTTCCTTATCCCAGACACACTGTACTACAACCATCCCTCTAAACAGCGTATCCCTTAATGCCTTACGTTTCCTCATCCCAGACACACTGTACTGCAACCATCCCCCTAGACAGCGTATCCCTTAAAGCCTTACGTTTCGTCATCCCAGACACACTGTACTGCAACCATCCCCCTAGACAGTGTATCCCTTAATGCCTTTCGTTTCCTCATCCCAGACACACTGTCCTGCAACCAGCCCCCTAGACAGCGTATCCCTTAATGCCTTACGTTTCCTTATCCCAGACCCACTGTACTACAACCCTCCCTCTAAACAGCGTATCCCTTAATGCCATACGTTTCCTCATCCCAGACACACTGTCCTGCAACCAGCCCCCTAGACAGCGTATCCCTTAAAGCCTTACGTTTCGTCATCCCAGACACACTGTACTACCACCATCCCTCTAAACAGCGTATCCCTTAATGCCTTACGTTTCCTTATCCCAGACACACTGTACTACCACCATCCCTCTAAACAGCGTATCCCTTAATGCCTTACGCTTCCTCATCCCAGACACACTGTACTGCAACCATCCCCCTAGACAGTGTAACTCATAATGCCTTTCGTTTCCTCATCCCAGACACAGTGTACTACAACCATCTCCCTAGACAGCGTATCCATTAATGCATTACGTTTCCTCACCCCAGACACACTGTACTACAACTACAACTCCCAGACACACTGTACTACACCCATCCCCCTAGACAGCGTATCGCTTAATGGCTTACGTTTCCTCATCCCAGACTCACTGTACTACAACCATCCCCCTAGGCAGCGTATCCCTTAATGCCTTACGTTTCCTTATCCCAGACCCACTGTACTACAACCCTCCCTCTAAACAGCGTATCCCTTAATGCCTTACGTTTCCTCATACCAGACACACTGTACTACAACTACAACTCCCAGACACACTGTACTACACCCATCCCCCTAGACAGCGTATCCATTAATGCATTACGTTTCCTCACCCCAGACACACTGTACTACAACCATCCCCCTAGACAGCGTATCCCTGAATGCCTTACGTTACCTCATCCCAGACACACTGTACAGTGTATCCCAACATGCGTGGCATTACAACCATCCCCCTAGACAGCGTATCCCTTAATGCCTTACATTTCCTCATCCCAGACTCTCCGTACAATATATCCCAGCGTGCATCGCTTTAAAACCATCCCTCTGTACAGTGTATCCCATCATGCCTCACGTTACCTCATCCTAGACTGTATCTCGTATCCTAACATGCATCGCGATACCTTACCCTTACATCAAATGATGACTTTCATTTTATTACCGATATCTTTCTCTGTCACTCTCTCTCTACTGTATCACACTGATTTTTATATAGCAAATTGCATATAGGCCTAGATACACAGCTTAGTAGACCAAAAGTAATTAACGTGCGTGCCCCTGACAATATCAGCGGTCTAAAGACTTCCTTACTGACTGACTTCATTGGTGAGCGACTCCGTGTATTACATATTTCCCTGTACGTGTTTGCATTTGAACAGATTAGGATCAAAACTTTGAATAAGATCATTGTTACTATAAATAGAATGTGTGTGTCATCGCTGTACAGAGTTTATGTTCTACTTTATCGTCTAGAAACTTCAGATAGGTGTTGACTAACCTAAACCGTACATGGCTTTGTGTTTCTACATACATGTACCTTCTATAGGGTCAAAAACAGTATCAACGTTACAGTCGTTACGACAGCCAGGCTTCTGATGTCGCCACTCGGCAGACTTCATTTCATACCCAATTGTCATTAAACTTCATATCTGTGTTCACAAATATCACTTCCTGTATGACTTATTTTATTTAACTTCCGGTTATTAAAGAACAATTGATCAGTTTAATCACTGTTTAACGCCACTTTCCATCTTCTAATAATTTGATCAAAGTACAAGGGGGAAACCTCGTAATTTTGCATGTAATGAACTCTACTGTAATGTTTGAAATATAGAAAGTTTTAACTCGGTGAATCGTTGGTTTTTAAAATCAAATGTCATTTAATGATGTAACTCCATGTATGTTGTGTATGTGTGCATGTGTGTATGTATGTATGTGTGTTGGAGGCAGGGTATGATGGTTGATGTATCTTACTAAGACAAGCACTTATAGATCCATTTCAGGTGAATAGTCCATATGGTCCTATACAGAATATCGTTTTATGTGAATTGGTTCAATATCTCGAACTTGTCTATAATTTGCGTATTAGAGCTTATGTGTACATGTGTCAAAGTATGTCACAGTGATACGCTTGTTACATGGAAAAGGACTGATCTTCTCGCTGAAGCTTGTACGCACGTGTAAAATATGTCTGGCCCTGTGTGGAGCCGTGTTTGTTTATGTGTATGTTTGTTTGGTGTTTAACTTCCTTGTAACTCCTAAAGTCACATGAGGACGGGTGTCTAGGGAGAAGGTTCGGTTTTATAGGGTTTAACGTCCTATCAACAGCTTAGGTCATTGAAAGACGTGGAACAGTAAGGCAGTTTGAGAAGATGAAGACAGATCCCAGGTGTTCCAATGTGGTCACCGCTCCACATTAGGCGCCACTTAGGGTAACATGCAGTGGGGTACAGGAGGCCTTTTCTATCCCCAACCTACGGCCGTGAGAGTACGATCTCCTCTGACTGGACGCTAATTACATGTTTTACAGTTGCTGGCGTATCTTTTTATTAAAGGCATACCAAGGCGATGTCCCGACAAGCGACTCGTGTAACTTGCATATGGTGTTTTATGGTCACGAGTATGTTTTCAGTTTGACCTATACCACACAGACCGTACAATACGTATACCCTGGCATGGCAGGGTCTTTTAAATGTTTCCCCTTTGTCGTGCTCAATTATTCATGCTTTTTGACGGGCTTTAAAAAAAAAACACTTGAGTAGCAAAAAGAGATTTGGCCTGTGAGAAACTGTTGAACATGCTATAATAAAAGAGTGGAATTGATATTAGTTGAAATGTTATTTGTTCGCATTCTACATGAAGACATGGAAAGGTACGTTAATACAATATTTATACAGGCGTTAACATCTACAATAATAGGGTATCACATGCATTCATTCTCGCACATTGTGACTCGTATATTGTATTTTGGGTCCTTCAAACCTTTCATTTCTCTCACTTCATGTCCTATGCTACATTATAATCCCTCTGTGTCTCTGAATATCAGGTTACAATTTGTATATCTCAACAGCATTATTCCATGCATCGATTATACTGTTTATTACTTTTAAAGCTGCAATTGTGTATTGTGTGTGTGTATGTATATACATATTTGATAAATATGCAAGACAACACACTTGTGCTTTTCTAACGAATCAGAAAGCACGAGTTTAATGCGCGGACGAATATATTCACGAGTGCGCGGAGCGCACGAGTGAATATTTACGTCCGCGCAATAAATGAGTGCTTTCCGATTCGTTAGAAAAACACAAGTGTGGTCTTGCTTTTATCACATACCTTCCGTATTTGGTAGAGATCTATACAAATATCTTATAAACTTTGATATTTTTTGCAAGTACCGGGAACTTTTCAGTTCGCCATTGCAAGAGGATTCCCGTAAAAAGTAGTTACGGCTGGTAGGTAAATACAACATTCCGTATTGCACATGTGCAATACAGGACGTTGTATTTCATGGTCTGAAAATTGCCTTTATTACTATAACAAGACTCAACAGGTATGTGATAAATACAGTATACAACTGTTTATGTTTGAGCATCCGTTTGACCATCGTGTGCCATTTACGTCTTATTTTAAACGTTCTAAGCAAAGTGCACAGAGAGAAACCTGTAGACGACATTGAAGCACACTACCATGTACTCCTTTGTACAAACACATCGGTGTTCGGTCATTCATCGAAAAGTAATAACAATAAATAATACAAGTGACACGTGGATTCGAAAGAGGCTACGTCGTATTAACGAATACATTCGTCAGGGAAGTTGTAAAACATTCACTTTGAACCGAGTTTACTAGAAATGTTTAGTACTGCTAAAATCGGTAAAAAGAAATTAAAAGTAGACATCTCGAATAAAAAGTGTCCATTGTGCAATTTCTTTTATTGAATGGCGCCAGATTTCGTCTGCTAGTTGCGTGCTGACTAAAATGTTTTTGAAATGTTCCGAAATTGACGGAAAACTCATATCTGAAATGCCATTTACATATTCTTAATGTACTGATTTTGGGTTTAGCTGCCCCATGTACTTAAAAGTCTATACCCCCGTACCGACAAGAGAAATACAAATTATATTTCTTTCCTCCTGGAGGTACATCCATTCCAGAGTGCTGTCAATCTTCATTCTTATACCTTCATTTGTTGTGCATTCTCGTTTCGTTCATGAAATCGTTTTAAATAATATCACTTTTTTCATTTGTATTTTCAGGATGACTGAAGCTTAACTGGATTCGAGCGGAAGTCATCGACCGGAAATACATATAATTCAACAGGAAGTAGATGTTACTATGTGAATAAGTCTGTTGCGTCGTATCTATGAAGTCTATATATAATGTAAAATACAACAGAGTCTGCATACATGATAAGTATGGTGTTTAACGACGAACATTTGAGAAAAAATCGCAGTCGTAACAAAGTTACCACGGAACAACGCCGGAAGTAGCTACGGTGAAGAGAGGCCAGTTTTGATGAGGGCTTTAACGCGATACAAGTATGCTCACATCCGAGTGTTTCGTCCGATGCGGAGAACGAGACGGACGTTCTGTGTTGTATCCTGTACAGTATTGTTGTTCGGGTTGTGTACGTTGCTATTGGAAATATTCAACACATCCGATCGATATCGGACGTTATCCATGGTTCCCTACAGCGGTAACCTAAGTGAGTTGAAAGAACACCATCTGGTCTCCTCGGTGACAAGAGCCCAAACACTTGTTCGAGAACCCGTGTTAATAGCAATAAATGAGAAACCAGTCCAACATAAGCATTATAATCATTCTAGAGTTGTTCAAACGTCACCTGGACACCACAATTCAAAACATTCGCCGTCAAATTTAACTCATAATCTCAGCATAGTGTCCAATATATCACAGAAATTAATTAATGGGACAGTCGTGAGCGCTACAAATAGCGGAAAGATCGTAACTCCGGTTAACATGACGTCATCAGATAGTAAACCACGTAATACATCAGTAGTTTCTAAAGGAAACGTGGAAAATCAAGGAATCAAAGCGAAACGAAAATCTATATATTTATCGTATAAAGTGAATTTCGTGTATCCTCTTGATATCAATATTGCGGCGCTAGTGAACGATACGATTCAGGGACTGGAATATACAAAACACAAACCCATCAATCCACATAATTTCTGGTACCTCCATAAACCGTATAACTGTGCATTCAAGCTTAAACCAAATGCGACAAAGAACGTGCTAGTGCTGGTGAAATCTTTCGTCGGCAATGTGGCACAAAGAATGGCGCTACGAACGTTATGGCAGGCCACCAACGATTCCAATATGAGGCGTGTGTTCATGTTGGGATACAACCGGTCCCACCAGCTTGTCGTGGACAACGAAAGCAGGAAATACCGCGACATCATCCAGGAAAACTTTGTGGACAATTACATGAATAATACATACAAGACAATCATGGCATTTAATTGGGCAACCAAGTATTGTCGTCGCGCGCATGCTATTCTTTTCCTTGACGACGACTATCTTGTAAACATGACTGTCATGGCGGCGCACGTTAGGACATCGTACAGGAACCAAAGCTCAGGACTTTACGCGGGAACGCTTGCCAAACATGCGCCCCCTTACCGAGACAAAAATGAACGATGGTACCTCAACTTTAAGCAATATCCGTACGACGAATTTCCGCCCTATGTTGGCGGTGGTGCTTACATTGTTTCTTTTGATGTAGCCAAAAGGTTTAAATTTGCTTTTCCGTATGTGCAATATATGGGAATTGACGACGTATATTTAGGCATTGTGGCTCGTAAATTGGGTATAGAAGCCAGTAACGACCCTTATCTCGACGGTCATAGTAAGGTTACCATAGCGAAGGAGTGCTCCCATAATGCAACAGAACTTCTCAAAAGAGTTTGTCCACTAGGGATAATAAAAAAGAAAAGAGGTCGGACCTACAGACGTGTCAGACATAAACCCGTTAACGCCTCCATTTTTGTTTTGTGCTTCTGTATAGCTATTAGCGCTATCGTACTGTTGACATGTTGTGTAGCTGAATAATTAAAAAAAAACATTAAATCAGATTTATTGAAAAGTTTGTTCCATTATGTGGGGGTTTTGTTTGTTTTTCAAAACAGATCTTTTGTCATATTTCATTCGTCATATATAACAAGTACACTAGGAATAGGACCTGGCAACAAGATTGCAAATCTTATATAAAGCCGTCTCCCTGACGTGTCTATTTGTAGAAGTGATGTAAAAGTATTTATACGTAAGTAGTACCGGCGTCTTTTTACCTATAATGTAACATTTATAGAAACGAGTACATCAACATTGACCGTGTTTTAAAACAGTCTGCAGCCGCCCATCCTCGATATCCAGAGGTTACACTCACTTTCGCTCTCTGCACCCCTGGAATATATCATAGAAAAACTGAAGGCTCAGTGTGTACCACTTCGTTGACGAGACAAGAAGACTAGTTCGATCCTTTGGTGTACATCAAAAGAATCTCGCAGTCGCGTAATGGTAAAAATTGACAGGCTTTGAAGTCTGGTGTGCAAAGGACAGGTATCAGCCTAGGGATTGGTCAGTTTTATTTACCGGAGACCAATCAAACAGCTGTCTTTGTGCCTTCAATTTTGCTGACATAGTCCAGGGGTGTAGAGAGCGAAAGTGAGCGTAACCCCTACATATCGAGGATGGGTCCAGATATTATTGTGGTGGAATTAATTTCGATATGTGTTTCGCATAGTTATATAAAGATAAATGTATCATATGTAATATCAAGGCAAATAGGTTGGAGTGTTCCGCCTTTACAATCTCCTATCCCAACTTTTAACTTGTTTACCAATCCTTTTGAATAATTGGATCAATAAGATATGTTTAAACTAAAAGGTGTTTCGATAAAAAAAAAACCACACATGATAACAGACCAATTAGCGGACTCGTCTATTTGCCATGCTGTTTAGTGGAAAGATATTAGTTTTATCGTTAATGGGAAAAGCAGATGTTAAAACCTGGCCGCTGTATATATCATTATTTGCTTCGTCTAACAGCAGTGTCTCTGCTAACGAAACTATCATGCAGGAATGTCACATGTGCAAGAATGGCATCCTTTAATTTAGGAAAACATCATCGATACTCAAGGGCCCGTATTCATGAAACCGTATAAAAAACAAGATTTAAAAAAAAATATATATAACTGAAACAATAAATTTGACTTGAGCACAAAATCCATGCTTGAGCATGAAAACGGTTTCATGAATACAGGCCCTGGGCTTGATCTGCAGTTTAGTGCAGGCGGACCGGAGCATAACCCTTACCTAGCGAAGGTCGGGAAACACCGGCTTGTGTCAAACAGAAATTCATTATGATAAGAATCGATTATCGAATTACAGCGTATATGAGCTAGGTTACCGGCACAAATACGACCACATTAGCAAACATTACTAGACAAACGTTTCCGACCTGTAAATAGTCTCTAGGGTTTCAAGTTTGATAGACGAGGTTGGCCTGGCTATAGGGTGTCAGAATTCTCCTGTTTTCCCCATTGTTTACTTCCATTAGGGCTGGGATCTTAGCAAACGCGAATGTACCTCTCATGAGGTTTTTTTTCACACATTTAAAAAAGTAGCAAAACTGCTATTTTGGACGTATAACTGATTAAGCTTATTTATAAGGTACCCTTTCCATGGCTCGGGAGAGAAACAAGGCTATGTAACTGCTTATTAAAGAGTTCTATGGATATTCTTCAAAATATTATTGTCTTCTTATACAAGAAAACATGTTTTTGTAAAATGTGAATAATCTTTCAGTTAAGACACGGAGAAATTTTGAAATTTAAGAAAAATCGATTTTTTTTTTTTTTTTAATTTTCAAAAACCGTAGATACGCTGTTGGCATTTCATACAGTATCATCTGCATGCAAAGTCGTTGAAGATGATTTAAAATGGAGTTTCTTTCGATATGGCATGGCCAATTTCCATGCTTGTTACAATGTGAAATTTCAACTACTCTTAGACTGATTTTTTTCGGGTCAGTGCTTAATGTTATATCTTCATTACGGAGTGTTTCAAATGTTTGGCACGTGGAAGAATTTGAAAGGAAAATAAATTCTAATATAGTTAGATTTTTTTTCCCTTTGGAGAATCGAGATGCATATTAAATCCATTATAGCAAAGCCACTGGAATGGTGTACATGTAGAATGAATCGAAAGGTTGTGTAGGAGTTGTGTCCCTTTCGCAAGAAATTTTGACGAAACTACGTATTCTGTCCAACACAAATACAGGATGCCTGCCCTAAACAAATTACCATCAGCAAAAATTACGCCTCTACCGAAGTTAAACAGTGATCTTGACATTGATATCAAATTTCACAGATCTTCCAAAATTTCAAAGAAACACCCACAACATGAACACAGGGATCATCTAGAAGTGATCACAAACAGTACCAGTAAATCAACTTAATTTGCTACAACATCAAGCTAGGACACCATTCCCTGAAGAAACACAGTTATCAATTCATCTACAGATGATACATTAACAATTTTGAAGTCAATTGTCATAACTTCAGAGGGATATCCACACGAAAGGAAACTTAGACAAGAGGCCCAATGGGCCTGCATCGCTCACCTGGTATAAATCTCACACTTGTAACCTTAAAAGTGATCTAAAATAAAGCTACAGGCAAAATATCAGTATCTATGATTAAAATTCATTCAAAAGAACCTGTTATTTTTTTTAAAACATTTCATCCCTGTGATTGAAAGTCGAACAAAGTCATTATGTTGAACAAATTTTATAGCCTTTCATCTCAGGATGCAACTTGCAAAGTATCAACATCCTGGGACCCATGGTTATTTAGAAGAGGTCGTTTAAAGATTTTGAACAAATTTGACCCCTGTGACCTTGAATATAGGTCAAAGTCATTCACTTTAACAAACATGGTAGTCATTGATCCCAGCATGCTACTGACTAAATATACACATCCTGAGCCTTTTGGTTATTCAGAACAAGTTGTTTAAATATTTTGAACATATTTGCTCCTTGTGACCTTGAATATGATTCAAGGTCATCCATTTAAAAAAATTGGTAGCCCTTGATCCTAGTATGCTACTGACTAAATATCATCCCCCTGGGCATTTTGGTTATTCAGAAGAAATTGTTTAAAGTTTTTAACATATTTGACCCCTGTGACCTTGAATATAGGTGAAGGTCATTTATTTGAACAAACTTGGTAGCCCTTTATCTAAGCATGCTACTGGCCAAATATCATCTCCTTGGGCATTTTGGTTATTCAGAAGAAGTTGTTAAAGGTTTTTTAAGACAATTGACCCCTGTGACCTTGAATATGATTGAAGGTCATTCATTTGAACAAACTTGGAATCCCTTTACCCAAGCATGCTACTGGCCAAATATCATCTCCTTGGCCATTTTGGTTATTCAGAAGAAGTTGTTTAAAGGTTTTTTGAGATAATTGACCCCTGTGACCTTGAATATAATTGAAGGTCATTCATTTGAACAAACTTGGTAGCCCTTTACTTCGTGCCAGGTGAGCTAAAAACGGAGGAAGGATATCGAAGTAGCAGAACTGGATTGGGATCGATCACCGGCGACCAGGTAGCTAGATTACTTGGCAAAGCCACGGACTAATTTAATTCTTCATCTTCATCTATATGCCTTCCTCCGATGTTATCGACGATTACGGAAGTCGATCTTGTGCATGCTGTAGTGCGTTAATTGTTATGTAGTGATTTTTTTTATTATATTTTTATTATTTGCTACAGTATAAAAAACAGGTTAAAAGCAGTGAGTGATTGTTAGTTATGTTGTAGGTTATGTTCGATTATGTTATATGTGGTGCATGTCCTGAACTCTGCTAGTGTTTCTGATTGTATTATTGTTTTGGATAGGAGGTTACACTGTATTATGGTGTATGGAAAGAATGAGTGTCTGTATGTGTCTTTGGATGTGTAGATATGTCTGTAACTAAGGTCGTGTCCTTGACGTGTTCTGGTGTCTGCCGGGATGAGATTGTTAGTGTGTATTATTTTGTAGAGAAGAATAATGCGTGTTCTTGTTCTGCGTGTGTGTAGTGTTGGCCATTGCAAGAGGGCAAAGTACTAGTACGATTAAGAAGGACTCATTACGACTATCTTTGAAGAACATGTACGATCATAGTCTAGTTGTCAAGAACGGAAGAATTTCCAAGCTAATATAGAAGCTGGTGCTATAATGTATGCTACTCCATCAAAACCTTGATGATTTTTTTAAATGGGCTGTAATGAGTGGTAAAGTACGTATCTGCACGGAAGTAGAAACGTTCAGCAAACTTCTTTGCACTATCTTATCCATCAAAAGATGTTCTGACTGTTTTCAGGGCGATATACTCGCCAATCATCATACGGAGCGTTTCTTTAAGTCAGATGTTAGATGCAAGAGGAATAGGGCAACAGGCAAAGCCTATGAAAACCCTCTCCTTACAAGCCTATCAAACCCCTCTCCTTACAAGCCTATAAAACCCCTCTCCATACAAGCCTATGGATACCTTCTCCTTAGAAGAATATAGCCATTGTAGAAATTCACATTTAAGTAATGAAAGACAACCGCAGGTCTTACATACGACGATGATCAAGTTACTATTGACAAATAATTTTTAAATTCATTAATACCAAACAGGAGTTGTCATACATACATGTAAATATATATTTATATTTTTACTGCAAGTCCCTCTATATGCTTTTCCAGAAGAAATTGCATTCATAGAATCAAGAATGCAAATTTGATCGGTGTCATTTTGAAGCTTCTCCTCCCGCCTAAATAACATGAGACAACCGTTGGAAGCAAACATTTTGGTGACGTTAGGCTGTACAATTGTTGTGTTCAATGAAGAAGTTTTAAACAGACTGGAAGTATTCGGTCTTGAGAGGCTGTACTGGACCTCTCGATACATCTTACGTGTACAGACGACAAAAAGAAATAGTATGCTTGCATACCTGATTTTATTGAGCAAGAACTAATTTATATAAATGGGATGACAAGATAACATTGCAAATGCCAGCATCATAATTTAATTCATTATGCCCTGAAAATTAAGAAAATGCACAATGAATAAAGACAAAGAAAGTCAACTGCACTATAATGTGATTTGCATGATTTACAAAAAAAAAGGTTTATTTTAAAAAAATGCCGGTTTAAAATATCCTGGCAACTTACCAAACAAAATTACATGACTATTTGGAACAAGTATGTATGTCAGTGTTTAGTTAAACAAGAGGCCCATGGGCCTTAACGGTCACCTGAGTCTATAGTATTTATTTTTGTTGTTGAAATATGTACCAATTTGAGTAAAAAATAGTATAATGTTAACTTAACTTTGTCAGGACCATGATTCGATCATTCCTACAAAGTTTCAGTTCAATCGGCCCAGCAGAACTTGACTTTAAGTTTGAAATGTAAAATGTTAAGGGACGACGGACGACGACGGACGAAAACGGATAGCAATAGGTCACTTGAGCTAAAGCTCAGGTGACCTAAAAAATGATGCCCCAAATACGTTAAGAATATACTGTCCCTGCACAAATTAAGAAACATTTTTATATAATAAAACATTATTGTTATAAAAAAGATTTCTCAAATAGGAACAGATTAAAAGTGTATATGGAAACAAATAAATGAGGGTTTGGTGAAAGGAACTATTGTTTTCACAGTAGTAAATCTGCTGTATTTCTTAAAAAAAATCAATCTACGAAACTCAACAAAACATATATATTATAATATATATAAAAATACATCAATATAAAACATACATTGCACAATTAAATCATTACACATACATTGTTTATGCTTCCTTAATTTCATTCTTTTTAGAAACAACACATATTTGGACAAGATTTCATTATGAGCAGTTTCTGTATCCACGATTCTGGAACTAATGCCAATGCAAATATGGCTAGACAATTTGTTTTCCCGACATGACTACATCTTTAATTAGATGACTTGGTAACTAGTTGGGGGGTACCAATGAACAACAGTGTTCTGTGTAAGGAGAGAAAAAATTAAAAACAGCAAAACTTGTTTGATCTCATCACTTCAGCCGATTGAGCTTCGTATACTTGGTCAATAGTAATCACATGGCCCTGTCTCAGGATAGTTACATCCAAAACGAAAAATTAAATGGAGGTGGGCCACAATAGACATCTATCTGTCAAAATGTCCAAGTCTGGTGTCGGGGCCAGAAGAAACTCGTTTCAACCAAAATGTGTACCATATGTGAAATTGATGAAAAGACCAGATGACGCCCAGGACAAATGTAACTGGCAACTTTACCCATTTTCTTCAACTTTTTCACTATAGAAACTCAAATCATGACAACAGCAAAAGTTAAATAAATCCAACCAATAATCAAATATCACATACAATATCTCACAGAAACATTAGATATAATTATAAGTAAAAAGGATTGCTTTGTTAACCAGTAACATTAAAGCTACAGGACCCATTACATCATATTGTGTTGGTTTACCAACATTTTTATTCCACTTTTTCATTATATAAGTAAGTTTAGCTGTGTTAACCAGTAAGCTAGCTAATGGACTACTACATAACTTAAAGGAAAATACCAGGTAAGTTACTACATAGATTTCTTGATGATTAACACAATGAAACCATTTTTTTTGTAAAAACCTTTGACTGTTGACAAGATATAAATGTAACATAAATATATATCAATATAGGATCTTCCATGAGTTTCCATTTCATATGAGATTTAAGAAACAAGTCAAAGAATTTTTCAATATAGCGAGTCTCTGGCGAGCTAAAATGAAAAGTTTGTGACGAGTTTCATTAATTTTTGATTTTATTAAATCCTCTTATAAATGAGGAACCGTCTCAGGATCATAAATTTCATATGAAATGAAAACGAGAGGAAGATCCTTTTTATCACATAATCAAGATTTGTGGCATTTATTTGTGTAAAACGACAATTTTCATGCAACCTTGAAATGTAAAAAGCCGCCATTTTGACTCCAGTGCCTAAGTCTGTGATGTCGTGTACTTGTCCTAGGTGTGACGTCACAATTGAAACAATTGAAACTTACAACCAATCACATGGCTGATGGGTCATATCACATCGGTTACCGGGGGTAATACGCAAAAAAAAAAAGACATGGGTATATTGACTGGATAACACAATACATTAAGTGATAGCAAGTTATACTTATGGGAGGAATGAAAAGTGGTCGCATAAAACAGATGGTCGTTTAATACAGTTGGTCGCTTGAGCAGATTCGACTGTATTAGGCATCCATCTTGCTATGGTGGACATCACATCCTCTAGATCTGCTGTGTATTGTTTTACTGCACTGAACTTCTGTCATGTTAAGGCATTTGAAACAGCTTTGAGTCTAGATATCATTAACTCATTCACCCCTACATATTTTAAATGGACTTTCCCAGTCTTTGATTTGGTAAGGTTCCATGTGACTTCAGGGATGAATGGGTTAACTGTATTGAAGATATTTTCTCTCCCATTAAACAGAGATACAATGTACTTTCAGTGAGGGAAGTTTATTTCTGTCTTAATCTAGGGTTACATGGCATCAAAAACGTATAGTAAAACAGATTAAGTTTGAAAAAATATGTTTTTAGTGATTTTATTGATTGTTTGACGCATGCTATGTATGTTCATCTTGTGCATAAAGAATAGATTTTTTCGATCTGTGTGCGACATGTGTGTGAAAGTGACAATTTGTTTTTAAAATATCAGTTTGAAGAGCGATCCTGGCGTGGGTCGCTTTTTTTTCGGCATGTTATAGAGGGCAGGAGTTCTGACGTTAATCGACACCAGACCGATATAAAAAAAAGTCGATATAACGTGACAATAATTCAAACTAGGGATTCCCCTGTCATAACGATTGTATCATGTCTTGTCAACAATACCAAATCATAAACAGAAAATATTTTCTGGAAATAATGAAATCAACGTTTTAATTTTATAATATTTCCAAAAAATATGAGGTGGGAGAAAAAAAATCAATCCACACTTAAATTGGAGTTAAACAGAAACATCTCAACTCTCAGGGTAAGATTCTATAAAGTCTGGCCCTCGGCAAAGCATCGGGCTAACCATTTAACAATCTTGCCCCTTGGGTTGAGATTTTTCTGTCTTACCCAAAAGGTGGGGAAAGATTCTATTGATCAGTCCTGGCCACAATGATCTTCTCGCCTGTGATGAAGAGGATATTCTCAGCTCAGCTGTGATGAAGAGGATATTCTCAGCTGTGATGAAGAGGATATTCTCAGCTCAGCTGTGATGAAGAGGATATTCTCAGCTGTGATGAAGAGGATATTCTCAGCTGTGATGAAGAGGATATTCTCAGCTGTGATGAAGAGGATATTCTCAGCTGTGATGAAGAGGATATTCTCAGCTGTGATGAAGAGGATATTCTCAGCTGTGATGAAGAGGATATTCTCAGCTGTGATGAAGGCGATATTCTCAGCTATGATGAAGAGGATATTCTCAGCTATGATGAAGAGGATATTCTCAGCTATGATGAAGAGGATATTCTCAGCTATGATGAAGAGGATATTCTCAGCTCAGCTGTGATGAAGGCGATATTCTCAGCTANTTCCAAAAAATATGAGGTGGGAGAAAAAAAATCAATCCACACTTAAATTGGAGTTAAACAGAAACATCTCAACTCTCAGGGTAAGATTCTATAAAGTCTGGCCCTCGGCAAAGCATCGGGCTAACCATTTAACAATCTTGCCCCTTGAGATTTTTCTGTCTTACCCAAAAGGTGGGGAAAGATTCTATTGATCAGTCCTGGCCACAATGATCTTCTCGCCTGTGATGAAGAGGATATTCTCAGCTCAGCTGTGATGAAGAGGATATTCTCAGCTGTGATGAAGAGGATATTCTCATCTCAGCTGTGATGAAGAGGATATTCTCAGCTGTGATGAAGAGGATATTCTCAGCTGTGATGAAGAGGATACCCTCAGCTGTGGTGAAGATGGAAGTTTGCAGCATTCTTTTCTGCGACTATTTTGACGACTTTCTCGGGTCTTCCACTCAGGCTCTTAGAGTAGGTGTTGAGGTCGACTCCAACTCCTTTCAGACTACTGTAATGGTCACAAGTCAGCTGGTCCTTGGCACATTGAGCCTGCAGAGAGAGTTTTAAATAGAACAGTCACATACAAAGCTTATTGTACTGGCAACAACAAAATCGCCCACAGTTCTTTAAACCATTTCCTACATCACATACATTGTATATAGTGAACATTTGATATTTGTTTTTTATTAATTGTTTGTGTATTACGTCCTATCAACAGCTATGGTCATTAAAGGACGTGCCAGGTGTTGATGGTGGAGGAAAACCACTTGGCCACCGTGGCCCCTTTGAAAAGTCAAGCTCCTTCATTTTTAGCTTATGTGAATAGTAAGTGAAACAGTTGGATAACTGGATTACTAGACAGTGAAGAAAGCTGATTACTGAAATATGAGACAGTGTTACAGGTACACCACTGGAACAATAGACAGTGAAATAAGTTGATCACTGAAACACCTGAATATGAATATTGTGTTCAACTGGGTGGCCCACTGTAATATTATAAAATCGTAGAAGTGGGTCTTTACAAGTGTAACAGGAAAGAGAATTGTGTGCTTCCACCGGGGATCGAACCCTCGATCTACAGGTTCCTAGTCGAATGCTCTACCACTGAGTTAAAGGGAAATCCCCCCTAGTTCGAAGCTAGAAGGTGACCTTAATCCTATGTACAATTGAACCCTGCCACACAAGCACTTAACTCTTAATCTGAAATGTAGCTGGCTTCCATATGATCAAATAATATTCCTCCTCAACCTTTGCATAGAATATTGATCATCTGTGATTACAATGTAATTTAAAGAGTTTTAAGTTTTAATATATGTTTGACTGTAGAAAAAAACCAGATTACTGGTAGTGGTGGCATGATACATGTAGCAGATCTAGATCAGCGAGATTATTGGCGATAACCAGATAAGCGGTGGCTGGTTGGTGGAACAGCTAGAGATTAATTAGTGGTGGTTTGATGGCAAGATAACCAGATTGGTGGTGGCTGGATAGTAGAACAACCAGATTAGTTGTGGCTGGATAGCAGAGTAAACAGATTTGTGGCAGCTAGATAGCAAGATATCCAGATTAGTGGTGGTCGGACAACAAGATATCCATATTAGTGGTGGTCGGACAGCAAGATATCCAGATTAGAGGTGGTCGGACAACAAGAAATCCAGATTAGTGGTGGATGGATGGTGGAACAACCAGATAAGTTGTGGCTGGGTAGCAGAGTAAACAGACCTGCGGCAGCTAGATAGCAAAATATCCAGATTAGTGGTGGTCGGACAACAAGATATCCAGATTAGTGGTGGATGGATGGTGGAACAACCAGATAAGTTGTGGCTGGATAGCAGAGTAAACAGATTAGTGGCAGCTAGATAGCAAGATATCCAGATTAGTGGTGGTTAGATAGTGGAACATCCTGATAGGTGGTCACTGGATAGTGGGACAACTGGATTAGTGGCGGCTGGATAGCAGAGTAAACAGATTAGTGGCAGCTAGATAGCAGAGCAACCAGATTAGTGGTATCCAGATTAACATTAGTTGAAAAGCTTGGCAGCCAGATTAGAAAGACCTTTTATAGATAAGATTATAGTTATTTGATATTTGATATTTTACATAAAAGTCATCCATAGTGAATACATCTCTAAGGCGTTTCATGTAAAGGTTGTCAATGAGTAATATATCATATGTAACCTTACAGGGAAAGAACAAATATCCATGGTAATACACAAACCTGGAGTTGGCATTCATGGTCTGTGATCCATTGTCTGTTGTTCTCCTCTGCCTTGGTATACTCTAGGGCAAGGCTATGCTTCACTTCAGCCCTGAGGACAATCAAATTTTAATTTTAAATACAATATATCTATGACAGTTCTCACTAAATCCTAGTATGTGTCTTTCTTTTCTTTTTTTCTTTTCTTTTTATGTTCGAAAAACAATGGTTTTCGACAAATGGAGGGTAAAAAGGCAGGAATAAATTATATTAAAAAATAAAAAATATTTTTTTATTTTACACACTCATTGGTTGATATGTGATAATGATTCTGTATCATTTTTATTTTTTTAGAAAGAACAGGTTAACATTCTCTTCATGACATCAATACAATTGTAATGTCACAATGCTCTAGGCCAAATGCAGTTCTTTCTCTTGGAAGATTGTGTTACATTTCATCTTATTTAATTATAAAACAGCATAATTTTGTATCTGATATAACTGTCAGAGCTTCTTCCTTTGGTATATACGTAGTTATATAGACCTGCAAATTGATGTTGACCTCAACTTTGTCTCGGTCAGTACATCATTCTTGGGTCCATATAAACACATATTCACTTAAACAGACATCCATAATTGATATTGAAATATACAAGTGGTTGAGTCTAAAATAGTCATTAAGAAGATGCACCCTCTTTCATTTTATTTATGTATTCAAGCTTTTTATGATACCCTAAATATCCTAAACACTAATCCCTTCCTTCATACACATCTAAATATGATGTTCTTTCCCTGTGGAAAGTTACAAAAAAAAATGGTTAAAGGAAGAGTTGCACTTAAAAAGGTTTTTGGAGCAGAAATTTAAACTTGAAAGGGACATAACTCCAGGAAAAAAGGAAAATCATAATTTTTTCTTATAGCAGATCTTCATATGATATATTTTCACTGTGCTAAGCGACAAAACAAAAATACAATGAAAAGTTATGGAGGAGTTACAGTTACAAGGTTTCTAGCATCCTCGATATCCAGGGGTTACGCTCACTTTCACTCATTACACTCCTGGAATATGTCATAGCAAAATTGAAGGCTTGGTGTGGGCCACCTTGTTGATGAGACAAGAAGACTAGTCAATCTTTTGATATACATCAAATGAATCTCGCGGTCATGTAACGGTAAAAATTGACAGGCTTTGAAGTCGAGCGTCTCCCCTTTGTAATCTTCAAAGGACAGGTATATCAGCCTAGCGATTGGTCAATTATTTTTACCCAAGACCAATCAAACAGCTATCTTTGTGCCTTCAATTTTGCTATGACATATTTATGGGGTACAGAGCAGAAGTGACTGTAACCCCTGGATATCAAGGATGGTGTCCTGGAGAAGAAATTATAGTTTTAAGGGCCACTGATAACTACCTGAAATATACTTAAATCCCAATGAAACATTATACTAGTCAGCATGGTTTAGGTAGTGAGGTTAATAAATACGGTATACAAACAAATCTAAATATTGGCTAAAATTTTCAAATTTTTCTTTTACTTTACTTACTTCTTCATGGTAAATTTGTGATTCAAGGCATCTATTTCCAGTTTTTGTTCTGAAATAAATAATAAAATAAAATAAGTTGTTATTTGAAGGCAAATAAATCTTTTGATATTCTTGAATAAGCAAGCAACAATCTCCTGTCAGTGTCTTCAACACAAGTGATTTTTGCAATTTCTTCCGCATAAAGATGTAGTCCCTCCTTACAAAGAAGTCAACACTGTTTAAAAATTCCGCGAAATGTCACGTAAAGGAACCAGACAGATTGGACGAGATAGAAAAATCTAGTAGGTGTGAGAATTAAATATTGTTGCAAACTCGACTGTGTGACAATGTAATGATGCTTTCCATTCGTTAATAAACATGTAGTATCTGCCTATTGTAGTTTTGACCATGTAGATGCAATGCTCTTCAAAAAGCCTCCTCTATATTGCAAAAGTAAACAAGAGGCCAAAAAAGCCTGCACTGCTACACTGGATATTAAAGCAATGATATGCCAAACCATTCTCATTCAAATTAGTACAGCAAATATTACCCCGTTTTGTGACGGGGCCAGACTCCCGGGCTTGCCCTTTTAATAGCATAGCTAGAGTGTACATTGACCGAGCAGGAAGTGATATGATTAAAGGACAGGGATCTCCAATTGTAATTTAAGCTGACAGCACAAGTGAATTAAACTTTTCAGGCATTAACATTGCAAATACACTTTGAGCTGTGAATCGCAACTGTTTTAATCTTATGACCCAGGGACTAAGCTTCAAGGTCAGGTGTATACATATGGACGCCTTGGCCATTCCTGGGAGCATTATATTCAACTCTTCAAGTCTTGCAAATTGATACATATTGTTTGTTCCAGTCTACTCAGCTGTAAATGATAACGTGGTTGGGCAGTGCTAGAACTGTTGAATGCTAGCTGTAAGCTCCAAAATGGCAGCACCGGCTGTATGCTCCCAAGGTAGTTGAGAAAGATATTGGCGGGTTGCAAAGGCCATATAACCACGGATAATAATTTGTGAACCCTACAAACCAGGCTGTGATAAAACGGTATATAAGAACCTAAAAATATTATTATTATTGATAATATGATTATATGGTTTAAAAATGAAAACCAATCTTTCTTTTCAACTAAAGAAGGGGAGATAATTGAAAACATGTTGATGCTTACCTAGTTCTTTCCGAGATTTCTCACTCTCAAGCTTCATGTCAGTGAGAACCTGTTTCTGCTCCTCTCCTTCATACTACAATGTACAACACCAGCAGTATACAGGTACTACTGTATATATAAACTATACATCACACAACATAGAAACTATCTGGCTGTTAACATACTACAATGTACAACACCAGCAGTATACAGAATTTAAACATAGAAACTCTCTGGCTGTTAACAAGGTACTAGGGCCAAATAAAAGAACATGGCCGCTTTCGTTTATTGTGGTCCAAACAGTTGGACCGGTTGGACCAGAATTGTTCGTTTATGAAATAAGGTTGGACCTTAGTAATCTGATGCTGCTTTCAGGCAAGCCCTGACAAAGCCTTGCAAGGCCTGCATAAACATTTGCAGGTCCGCCAGGATATATACCCGTAAAATGTCACATTTAAAAACAGACAAACCGGTTGTCCACATAAAAGGACAGGCCCCAGGTTTGTTTCCTGTTACATGCCAAATTCAGGTAGGAAATGCTGGTAATAAATTCTATTTTAAAACTTATTTATAATGTGTAAATAAGACAGTGATTTTGACTCTATCAGTGCTTCACCCTTACCTACAGATAACACACTGAATTTCCACAAATGCAGACTATTTCAATATTCCACAAATGGGCTAAAAATGTGTAAAAAATGTAAAACTGAAATTTTACACCCTTGTGTAGAATCTTTCCCCTTCGGTGAACTAAACAATTCCGCAAATTTTCTGCATTTGCATAAATGTTTCTGCATTTGCGGTTTTCTTGCATTTTTCCTGCATGGGAAAATGTAAGTGCAGGGTTTTTCCCTGATGCAGGTGTCCTGCTGAAGAAATGCTGGGAAATTGCCAGAAAAAAAGTTTAGGATAAGGCACGAAAAATGTTTAGAGGTAGGTGGCATGGGGTATCCAGATACAAACAACCTCTTTTATTCGGTCTAGATATCTATAGTCATTGAGCTTCATGTATGCTTTCTTTTCATTTAAACATTAATGATTGGAAAAAACAAAAGGATTTGACACAAGCTCTCTTTGGAACTCTTGCTGTCCCCGACAACAAGGTATCATGGAAATTACATTATACAGAGAATAGCCAAAGCATATGGAACCCTGTAGTATCATGAAAGGGTGGTTGGGTGGTGCAGTTGATAGCGCACTTGCCTTTCACCAAGGTGCCCGGGGTTCGATACCACAATCGGACGTGAAAAGGTATGGGGTCACCTGCCGGACCACGTGGGTTTTCTCCGGGTACTCCGGTTTCCTCCCACAATGAGACTAACATCCAGGCCAACAAGAGTGATTAATGTTAGTTGCAAAATAACTTGTTTCAAAATTATCCTACAATAAATAAAGTTTATATTTATCATGGAAGCATGACTTACATTGATTTTGAGGACGGTCCTTGTTTCCACAGCGTTATCATGAAGCTGTTGAAGTTTGGGGTGGGCGTGGTAACCACGGTATATCACCTTGGTGATGGTGTAGCCAATCGTTTTACTTCTCTCCATCAACTGTACATAGTTGTCCAAATCATTCAGTTGTCCAGCTTTTTCCATAAATTCTATATACCTAGAATCAAACGACACTCTATTGTATATGGAAAGTAGACAATTTCAGGTTGACACAATGGAATGAAATATCCTAAAATAGCTGCAATAATTGCAAAACCTTGGTACAAATACATGTACATTGTTGAAATGAAATATCGTTTCATTTATAAAGTAGGATCAAATGTTTCATTTAATAGTCTGCTACATATATAATTTACTTTACACATCGCAAACTTTTGTGATAATGTCTTCGAGAATTTTTTTTGCCTATTACTTTTAATAGCATTGATCAGTTTTAGGTTCATACGCAATATCAAACTTACAAAACAGGAAATTGCAAATGGTTTCAAGAGTAAGTTTCTGACTGCATGAAAATTGACAATATCTAAATTAACATATATATATATTACTACATTTTTGTCAAAAGTGAAAAAAAAATTCAGCTTTACATTTTGTTTTTGTTTTTGTTTGGGTGAAAAAATGTTGGGAAACAAATTACTGAAGTCAGCTTCCTGCCCTCCACTGGTGTTCATTATTTTCCAATAATTTTGAATCCTCAGTTTTTAATGCCAAAGTTATACATGCACATGGCCAGTATTTCTTTTGTACCTACTAACTATCAATACATGAATATACACAGATTAAAAAACAAACTGTTACAGCTATTTTATTGCCGAATAATGGAGATAAAACACCAATTCAATATCTTATTTAATATTATTTTGATAAAACGGTTTAAAACAAATCCAAATACCTAATACAAAATTACTTTGATGAGGCAAAGTTGTGTGATATTTAACTCAATCACCCGTGAAATTTCATAATGACCTATTCAAACCTTTGAATTGGAACATTTCATATGTGTCTTCAGGGGTGAATGAGTTAATAACACGCAAACTAGTTCCGATAGGGACAACAGCCCAATATTTGCCGCCGGAAATTAAACAACTATGCAGTATGTAAATAAATCTCCTTTTCAAACCTTTAAACAGAAATATGTATAATAAAAGAGTTGATGCTGAAACAGGAAACAGCATTTTTGTACTCATCACGTGCCTATAAGAAAACTTTGTAGGTATATAAGTCTGTACTTACGTATACAATGATGCAAAGGCGACCACGTCAGCACAAACACAGCTAAAATTATAACAAAATAACATCAATTAGAAAATTAACATGATTATTAAACACATTTGCATTGTTCATCTAACAACAGATGATCTGTGCTTATCATCCCTGCCCCTACTTCTGTAGTCATTAGACTCATAATCTTTATAAGGTATGTCCAGTTCAGGACTATATAAAGAACCTCATTACATGATTGTAGCTAAATTATTATCAAATCTTTACCCAACTTATCATTGTCAGGTCTTGAATGATGTAAAAAAAAAAAAAAATCAAATTCCTCTGTTTCTATCAGTTTTTAATAATCATAAACAAAGCAGTAAATAAAATTCATGTTTTTATTAAGAATTCGGAAATATGTTTTTCCGAACAAAAACAATGTACGTATTACACATGTCGCAGCGTTGCAAGACCTACTGGTCCCTTAATTTGTCAAGCTATGACTGAGTGAGCAATATGTATCGTTTACCTGTTCAATGATGTGACAAAATTGTATATTTCATATGTCACTCGACCCAGGATGTTTCCCTATCAAAAGAGAGTGTATACACACTGAATCGTAAAAGATTACTGCTAAGTTGTCATCTGTATGACCTGATACTGACCTTTAGAGCGAGCTAGATCTACACCCTACCAGTAACTTCTTCTGATAGTGTTTTTACACTAGGTATTGATAGGCATAACGTTCCTGGTCGAATGACATATACGAAATATACAGTTTCCTCACAGGTCTACCAGTAAACACTACAAATTGCTCACTCAGTCATACCTTGAAGAAGGGACCAGTCGGTTCTGAAACGTTGCAACACGTTTAATAGTACATTGTGTATAAAGTAAAACTTTCATATTACAAGTATTCGGGATCAATACCTCGCCTGTGTCTCGCTTTGACTATCAATGCACATGATGTAAGTTTGGTTGGTTTAGCACTTATAGTTTCAGAGAAACTAACTTAGACACAAAAACTTAATGTTGATGGAGATGCTGACAAAGTCAATGGACCATGAAAGGTAGGCCGCATCTAGCATTTGTTGCATGGGTTGAGATGTACTACCTAAGAGGTGTTGCCTGTGTACTTACTTAATGAAGTCTGCTATAGGATCCTTAGTGGCATTCAACTGTGAAAGGAAAGGTTGAACAATTTTATAGAGTTTTAAAAGTACCTCATTGCAACAGCTATTAAAGACATATGAAAATGGGCTTCGAGTACAAACTGAAAACATATTTCCCTGCTTAAAGTCAAACATTCTCTAAAGGTGTTAGAGTTCTGTCTGTTTTCTATGTAACAGTCACATATCAATCAAGCTTACGGAATGCAATATGTTAAAAAAGTATGAAAGGTACGTGAAAGCCATTAAATGCCATACCAAACCAACTGGTATTTGGTTTATTCACAAGTTTGATACACCTTACACGTTTGACACATTTCACACATACATGTTTGACACATACAAGATTAACACACCATACAAATTTGACACACCATACAAGATCAACACACCATACAAGATTAACACACCATACAAATTTGACACACCATACAAGATCAACACACCATACAAGATTAACACACCATACAAGATTAACACACCATACAAGTTTGGCACACCATACAAGATTAACACACCATACAAGATTAACACACCATACAAGATTAACACACCATACAAGTTTGGCACACCATACAAGATTAACACACCATACAAGATTAACACACCATACAAGATTAACACACCATACACGATTAACACACCATACAAGTTTGACACACCATACAAGTTTGACACACCATACAAGATGAACACACCATACACGTTTGATGCACCATACAAGTTTGACACATCATACAAGATTAACACACCATACAAGTTTGTCACATCATACAAGTTTTTTAATATCTCTCACTAAGTCTCACCATTGTGTCTATGTCCTTCAACTCAAAACACAGCATGAGTTTAACTTTAATGGCAGCATCATCCTTCAGTCTGACATCATCAACCTGCAGGAAAGATAATAATGGTTACCTCGCCTTGTCAGATAATAATGGTTACCCCCCTTGTCAGATAATAATGGTTACCTCCCTTTAACCCTCTCTCCCACCTGACAACCCTTAGTTGTAAAAAAAATGTACTTTTTGTTTGAGTTTAATCTATCAAGATGGAACTGTTTGCCAGCAACCTCCTAAGATTTTTGGTTAAAAGCTGATATGTTCAATTTTAAGTCTCCAATGAATATTAGACCTTGCAGGTCTAGAACATGAATCCTTGCAATCTGCCAAATATGAAGACTGCCAAAAACACACCCTATTCAAGACAAAGAGAGCTCATCTGAAATGGCATTGGCATACATATAATATCATTTATTATAATTACGCTTAATAGAACTGAACAGGAATGACCTTGATACATACATTGTAATAGAACTGATCAGGAATGACCTTGATACATACATTGTAATAGAACTGATCGGGAATGACCTTGATACAAACATTGTATTAGAACTGATCAGGAATGACCTTAATACATACATTGTAATAGAACTGAACAGGAATGACCTTGATACAAACATTGTAATAGAACTGAACAGGAATGACCTTGATACAATCATTGTAGTAGGACTGATCAGGAATGACCTAGATACATACATTGTAATAGAACAGATGAGGAACGACCTTGATACATACATTGTAATATAAATGATCAGGAAAGACCTTGATACATACATTGTAATGTAACTGATCAGGAATGACCTTGATACATACATTATACAATCATTGTAGTAGGACTGATCAGGAATGACCTAGATACATACATTGTAATAGAACAGATGAGGAACGACCTTGATACATACATTGTAATAGAACTGATCAGAAATGACCATACATTGTAATATAACTGATCAGGAATGACCTTGATACATACTTTGTAATATAACTGATCAGGAATGACCGTGATACATACATTGTAATAGAACTGATCGGGAATGACCTTGATACAAACATTGTATTAGAACTGATAAGGAATGACCTTAATACATACATTGTAATAGAACTGATCAGGAATGACCTTTATACATACATTGTAATATAACTGATCGGGAATGACCTTGATACATATATTGTAATAGAACTGATCAGGAATGACCTTGATACATACATTGTAATAGAACTGATCGGGAACGACATTGATACATACATTGTAATATAACTGATCGGGAATGACCTTGATACATACATTGTAATATAACTGATCAGGAAAGACCTTGATACATACATTGTAATGTAACTGATCAGGAATGACCTTGATACATACATTGTAATATAACTGATCGGGAATGACCTTGATATATACATTGTAATAGAACTGATCAGGAATCACCTTGATACATACATTGTAATATAACTGATCGGGTATGACCTTGATACATACATTGTAATATAACTGATGGGGAATGACCTTGATACATACATTGTAACATAACTGATCGGGAATGACCTTGATACATATATTGTAATAGAACTGATCAGGAATCACCTTGATACATACATTGTAATATAACTGATCGGGTATGACCTTGATACATACATTGTAATATAACTGATCGGGAATGACCTTGAGAACATCAAACTTCTGAATGCCCGGTACCAGTCTGGTTTTGTTTTCAGGATCTGTGCCATGCCAGGAAAACATGTGTAACCTGAAAAAATGCATTTAACACACTGTAAAGGTGTTTTTTTTACAGAGTTCTTATTTCTGTGGTAACAATTTTACTACAAAAATAAATAACATCAAATAAATCACAAGCAAATGTATTAATTGTAAAGTTACAGTGAATTCATCGTTTTAGAAAATCCTGCGAAATTAAGGACAACAAATTTTAACTTTTAAAATACATAAAATATACAGACAATAAGAATTTTAGAATGTTATAATATTTGAGGATTTCAATACATAATCCTTCATTCTTTGACATACTAATCCAAGGACATATTCAGACAATGGTTCCACAGGAGTGGATATGTCGCCTGCTCAGCACTTTTAGTGAGAAAAGTGTTTCGACTTAGGTTACATGTAAACAAGCAAAAACGATTAACAGCATTGCTATGTCAAATGTGATATGCCAAAACACCGAAAGTTTAAACTCGACAGAAAAACCTATAATATATGTTGAACATTATTGCTTCTAGTATTACCTTACAAAATTTGAAAGGAATCGATAAAAAAATAAAAATTTACTTTACAATACCTTTATTTGGCAATTTAAACGGGCATAACTCCACCAAAAATGCATGTAAACTTCTGGAATCCGAACTCATGTGTACTAAGTTTGAGTTCAATCAACCCAAGGAAACTTAAGTTATCGCACGGAAACCTTGTTTCGGACGACGAAACCAACGACAAAGTAATACCTATATGTCGCCTCGCATTTCAGTAGACTCAAAAATAAGCATTGCCGTACCAAACACTTGCACAAAGTTTCGAGAAATTCCGTTCTGTAATGTTCCGCTAGCGTGATGACAAAGTGGTGTTTTTTTTAAATAGTAACAGTGACCTTGACCTTCAACATAGAAATCCAAAACGCGAACGTGTTCAATGCATTGACATACCAAACACTTGTATCAAGTATCATGAAATTTAGTTCAGGAATGAAGTTGGGACAGCGATGACAATGTTTTTCTAATAACAGTAACACTGACCTTTGCTTTCAACAAAGAAACCTAAAACGCAAACTCATTCAAGGTATTGTCATACTACCCACTTGTATGAAATTTCAGGAAATTCTGTTGTGGAATGAAGTTGCTAGAACGACAAAGAGTGTAACATACGTATATACGTATGGGCAGAATCCTATATCGCCTCCAACTTTCGTTGCGAATGCAGCATATGTAGAAAGGACAGAATGATCCTGTTGTCATAAACATACGCTTAAATAAATGTTAAACAATCTAATTTCATGTACTCACAGTTGGTTTAACTCATTCACCCTTGAAATTTTATAATGAACTATTCCAACCTTTGATTTGGAAGAGTTAAAATGTGTCTTCAGGGGTGAATGAGTTAACGATTATATATCAAGACTTCCCAAAATAGCTATTTTGTCGATAATTTTTTCCAACTTCATCCCAGGGTCCATTTCCTTAAAACACCTGAAATGTATAGCTGAATACCTACCACTCGCTTGCTTGAGGGGTGAAAAGGGTCGGACCAAACTGAATGTATCTGGTCACTTCTTTCGACAATTCCTCCTTCCGGTAAACAACAAGGGCCTCGTTGGCGTCTAATGATCTCATGTTTATAATTGTGATAGACTTGTGTGCAATAGGATTCTTGAACATAACGCACGGCCTGTCAACAAAAAAATGAAATTAAATATTATGTATTTTTAAAATTTCCAGTACAATTTCTATCACATATATTGTGAGTATACCCATTTATCAATGCACTACTATGGTCTATCAAACAAAAAAACAAAAATCAAATGTTTTTTGTTTTTTAATCTACAGCACAAATTATATCACATATGTTGTGAGTATATGCCTACTCATAAATGCGCTACATGTATTATGATCTATCAAACAAAAAACTGATTTTTTTTTTTTAATCTACAGCACAAATTCTATCACAGATATTTTTGAGTTTTCCCATTTATCAATGCGCTAATAAGTAAAAATACCATCTTTAATGCACTGAAGTTTTAGTGTGCTAAATTAACTCATTCACCCCTGAAATTTCATAATGAACTATTCCAACCTTTGAATTGGATGAGTTCAAATGCATCTTCAGGGGTGAATGAGTTAAGTAGATTTACAATAAAACACAGCAGGCATGGTATATTAGGCCAGACAAAAATACATATGTTTCCCGTAACATATTGGAACATAGATAAGTAGCTAACAAGTTTTATCTTTAAAGATTTTGTTGTTGTTTATATAGGAGTGTGGTCTTGACTTTAACAGTGCTTCTTTGAAAATAGTCTAAATAAGTTTTGGGTAGGCACAAGAAATCGGGGAAGGTAGCCATAGGATTACCGGACACACCAAATATTTTTTATTTGGCCTTACAAGTAAAGTATTTTTGAAACGGGGTTGGCAAAAGCAAACTTGTAGCAACATATATTAAGCATTCTAATATCAGTCAGGGTCGAGATTGTTGACATTGACATGCAGTAGGGTATCATAACCTAATCTAAAGGAATATGTAATTCTGATGTTATGGGTCTTCCATGTGTGGGACTCGCTAGGTCAAATGGGTATAAGTTTTTCTGACTTTCAAGAACATGTATAATTTTTACATATATATGTATAATGAGTTAATTGATGACTGGTCCAGTAAAAATTGACACTATACGTTACCAGACTTTTTGAGCAAGTATAGTGTTAAAGTTTGTTATCAGACTTGTCATAGGTTAATAGATACGGTTCAATGTATTTGGCAAAAACTGAAAATAGTACCGATTCATATGTGATACCAAACATATGAACATCTATATAACAACAAATTTACTGACACGTCCATCTCAACACTTCACCAATCACCCCTGAAATTTCAAAATGAACTATTCCAACCTTGGAATTAGAAGAGTTCAAATGTGTCTTCAGGGGTAAATGAGTTAACTGACCCTTTCTTGTGTTCCACACGTCCATCCTTGTAAGTGACCACCAGGTACTGCTTTTGGTCAGCAGCATATCGTGTCAGCTTCTCAAACTTCTCTCGCCATAGAAACAGCTGTGTCCAGAAAAACCCCAGCAACAATAGATAAATGACAAGCCATTCAGATTGATATGTCTTACCTATACCTCGCTTTGACCATCAATGCACATATCAGAGAAACTAACTTAAACACAAAAACTTAATGTTGATGGAGATGCTGACAAAGTCAATGGACCATGAAAAGTAGGCCACATCCAGCATTTGAGGCATGGGTTGAGATGTACTTCCTAAGATGATGCCATATATGGTCCAAGTTTGGTTGGTCTAGCACTTATACTTTCAGAGAAACTAACTTAAACACAAAAACTTAATGTTGATGGAGATGCTGACAGTCAATGTATAGACTATGAAAAGTAGGCCACATCCAGCATTTGAGGCATGGGTTGAGATGTACTTCCTAAGATGATGCCATATATGGTCCAAGTTTGGTTGGTCTAGCACTTATACTTTCAGAGAAACTAACTTAAACACAAAAACTTAATGTTGATGGAGATGCTGACAGTCAATGTATAGACTATGAAAGGTAGGCCACATCCAGCATTTGAGGCATGGGTTGAGATGTACTTCCTAAGATGATGCCATATATGGTCCAAGTTTGGTTGGTGTAGCACTTATACTTTCAGAGAAACTAACTTAAACACAAAAATGTTGATGGAGATGCTGACAGTCAATGTATTGACTATGAAAGGTAGGCCTCATCCAGCATTTGATGTATGGGTTAAGATGTACTACCTAAGATGCATTTATGGTCCAAGTTTGGTTGGTGTAGCACTTATATTTTCAGAGAATTTAACTTAAATGCAAAAACTTAGTGTTGATGCTGTCGCCGCCGGAAAAGCAACACCTAAGTCTCGCTTCCACTTTGTGGCGGCCAGTCAATAACTGTACTAAAAACTAAATTAATGCTAATTATCTCCCAAATTACAGCATACCTGCTAACCCCCCAAGTCTCCAAAAAATGAGATCATGACAGTTCATTATGTGGACAGAATTTGCTTTAACCTGAGGTCTAAACTTTCAAGACACATCAATGAAATATTTCTAGAAATACCAGTAAGGAGATACATGTACTAATAAAGGCGAAGAGGTGGGTGATTATGGGTCGTGTTTTTGGAATCTAGATGATTCATATGACCCACGCAGGTAATAAGATGGTCGAAGGTGTTATATTCATTTTGTGATTTTGTTAAACACCTGCAAAATGCGGATCATTTAGCAGAAATAATTACAGTGTACGTTATCAATGATGACAAATGACTGTGTTCAAATAACAGAAAATATATCAGTTCATGTACTTCAAGTATGAATATCCTATACTAAATCCAGTAACTTAACCCATTCACCCCCACAATTTCATAATGAACTATTCCAACCTTTGAATTGGAAGAGTTCAAATGTGTCTTCAGGAGTGAATGAGTTAATGGGATGATCAAGATGATAATATGACAAGTGTTATTTCATGAATTAACATGACAAAAAAACAAACAATGCTTCAAACCTAGATTTCACATTATTTATGACCATTACACAGGGTGTCAACCGTGCAACTTACAACATCCTGAATGTCACCATTAACCCTTTCACCCCTATGTAACTTGAGTAGACTCTACCATGCATTGATATGGATGAGTCCATTATGGTCTACAGTGGTGAAAGGGTTAAAAGCATGACAGGCATGTTTTTGGAAAAAAAAATCCAATTGCAATTTCAGAATATTTTATTGTATAGGTTTTATCTGCATTTGATTTTTTTTTAAACTAAACTGACAGCAAACCAAATATTTCACTGATGAATTTTGGTTTGCTTGAGAATTCTCTATAGAAGGTAATATTGGTAATATTTTTAAAGTATTAGAAACTTAATTTGTGGGACTATAGACAAAGGGTAAAAGAAGACGAGTTTTAAAGTATTATACGTTTAACCCCTCCAGGCAATGCAGTGTGATAATAATATACCAACCCTTTTAGGTCCATCTTCTATCCTCGCAGAGCCTGCATGGTTGTACACCAACGCCTGTAACAATCGAGAGTACTAGGTGTTACATACTAATGACAATTTACCTTATAGAACTCTGTTTCGCGGTCCATTAACCACATATTCACCTCAACAAATGTCCATAAATATACTGGAGAGCATCCTTGATACTACAGGGGTTAGATATGCTCCCTTTCAATCTCTGCACCCCTGGAACATGTCATAGCAAAATCGAAGGCTCTGTACGTGTGCACCGCCTTGAAGATGAGACAAGAGGACTACCTTTGATCGTTTGATTTACTTTTAAAGAATCTCACTGTCGTGTAACGGTAAAACTAACTGGCTTTGAAGTCGGGCGTCGCTCCTCTGTAATCTTCAAAGGACAGGTATCAGCCTAGTGATTGGTCAGGTTTTTTTACCTAACACCAATCAAATTGCTAGCCGAGTAGCCGTGTGCCTTCAATTTCGCTATGACAGATTCCAGGGAGGCAGATTGCGCATCATTGTGAGCGAAGCCCCTGGATATCAAGGATGTCTGGAGAGAGAGAGAAGTGAGCACATGACATGTATACCAGAGGTAGCATTATCTCAGGTCAAAATGTGAGTGTCTGCCTGTTCAACATCTCTTAAAATATGATTACCGGGTATGTACGATTTATAAACATATAGTACTGATATCTTGTTGTCGATTGAAGACGCTTTTAAGGGTGACGTTGCAGATTCTCAAAATCATTATGAACTGGCTTCAAACTGTGCATCACTTCCGGTCGAAACACAGACAATATCTGCCATTGAATGATAAGTTACATTGTTCAGCACAATATCAGTCGTTATTCAGATGTCATTCAACATTTATTGTATGCATGCACTCAATGATTGTAATTGGTTCATTGCAGGTGACACCGTTGTAATTAAGCGTCTAGTCGTTTCTTGAGGTGCGCTTCTTTATATTATCCACTTCACTTCCGGTTGCATTTGGAGGCATTTGAAGAGGACTTTATTTCTCAAAAATTAGTGAAAATTATGTACATGTGCAGTGGGTGGTAACAAAAGTTGCATCCTGATTTATATAAAATAGGGTATTCAGTTATAAAAAAAGGACTGACAGGCCTGTATTATAGATCACAAGTAAAAAAAAAAAAAATAGAGAGTATATATGTATACACACATTGTGGTGAATTAGTTACAGACCTGTCAATGGGCTATACTAGGAAGTATAGAAATTAAAAGATTTCATGGGTTAAAAAAGACATTGAATATTAAATTAGACATTTGAGAAGCCTGTATGTGTTATGTGTTACTCCAGCTAGTTAGTAAAAGCTTGGTTCAAACTTGTTGGGTGATTTATCCAGTGTTTATTTAACGTGGTCTTAAAGGAAAACAGAAATGGGGCATTTGCCACATGATCAGAGAGACCATTCCAGTTGTTTACAATTCTTAATTTAAAAGAGTAATGGCAAGTATACTGATCATGAGTGTTTTCGAGGTCTGTCAAACAGTCAGGAGCGACGGTTTCTGACCGGGAAAATCAATAAACCTAGGCTATAGCTTGATATGGTAGTTCCACGAGAGGTTCTAAGATATGTGCACTCCGAGGTAATTCGTTGCTGAATCTATATCGAGGGTGTGGCCATTCAAAGAGTGGGAGCCTTTCTTCTTCTTCCTTTACAAGGATCAGACTCGAAGGTTTGAGTGCACTTGATCCTGGGAGATGGCATTAAAAATGTTAAAAACAATTATTTTTGTTAATTTGTACAATAAGATAAAAACAGAAAACACTTTATGGAAGGTTGAAACTAGCCAGGACAGACTTGAAAGAGTTCAGGTTTGGCTCCTGTGCTAGGGATGATGGTAGCGAATTCCAGTTAACAATAGTTCTAGGGAAGAATGAATATTTATACAAATTTGTGTGGGTTGATATTTGATTAATTCTGTGGGCACCTCTGGTTCTCCTGTCGCCTGATGTTATGAATTGGGATGGATCAATAGCCACATGCCCGTTTGTTATTTTATATAACATCATGAGCCTTGCTTTTGTTCTTCGCTGGGCTAGGGGCAGACGTATATTTATCATGTTGGTGACACATCCAGGCTCTCTAGATCTATGATCATTAAATATGTATCTGGCAGCCCTACGCTGTACATTTTCAATTGCTAGGACCTGGTCTGAAATAAAAGGGTCCCAGCAAGTGGCTGCACATTCTAGTGATGGTCTTCCTAGTGTGGTGAATGTCTGGGTTTTGACTTTTCTGGTGCATGATGACATGTTGCGGCGCAGAAATTCCAGTGTCCTATTTGCCTAATGTTGGTGATGGATTGTATGTGTTTATCCCAATTTAGGTCTGAGGTGAAAGTGACCTCTAGGTATTCGCTAGAGTCTAAATTTTCCAAAACTTGATTGTGCAGGGAGTAGCTAAACTTAATTTGATTGTTCTTTTTAGATATGTTGATGATAGAACATTTTTTGGCGTTAAAATTCATTTGCCATTTACCCTCCCAGATTTCCAAGGATTTGCATAGGTCGTTTTCCAGTTTCTGACAGTCTTCTAATGAATTAATATCTGTATATAATAAGCAGTCGTCAGCAAAGAGTTTGATGTCGCAGGAAACTGAGTCGATGATGTCATTAATCAGGTCCAGTACACTCTGCCGATTGAGCTATATAGCTGTAAAGACCTATAATAGCTCTATTGACCTATCTGAAATAGGTCTTTTGAGCTATTTTCAAGTGATTTTCTTTTTTTAAAGAAAACGAAACAAAGTCGCTTTTAAAAGATTGTATCATGAGGTTGATAACAAAAGACATTAATTATAAGTATTCTTTTTAAAAAATAATGATGTAAAAAAATAGGAAATTTTACATTTATGAAAAATGAAAATAAACATCTAACTGTATGCTCTTTGTAGTCAACATTACCATAAACCTTATTGTTTTATGCGACTTTGCTTTAATTTAATGAAATTTGAAATCTGAGAAAATATAGCTCAATACAGCTATAATTTATAGGCGTATATAGCTATATAGGACTTTATAGCTATATAGCTCAATCGGCAGAGTGTACTGGACCTGTTAATGTAGACCAAAAAGAGGAGCGGGCCAACAACCGTTCCCTTTTAAAACGTTTAGTGGTTGAGTAACTCATGGTATATACGGCAGTCTGAATATAAGTGTGTTCATTCTCCGATTACACTGGGTGTATTCAATACTTTACCTGTTCTCCGACATCCAACGTTTCATACCCGACTGTCATGTTTTCTGATTAAGTTTAGCGTCTGTTGAAACTGTCATGGCCTATAATAAACAAACACACTTCCGCTACATTCTATATTTTCTAGACTTGACCATACTATACGCAGGAGGTCATTCGGAAATTGTCTTGGGTGGTAAAAGTCCACCGTTAATTGGTTAAGCAGTCAAAATGCTATTATTTGAACTAGCAGATGAATGCGACAAATACTTTATTTTTTATATAAGTAGCATTGGACTGATGATTAAAGAATCGAGCCTAAGATAATAGGAAAGTTTACTTATTGATTTATTTATTGATTGGACTGAAGGCGGAGACGGAGCCAGAAAGTTGCAGAAGTCGTTTCGAGGACTTGGCGGGAAAAATGCAAAGGGCTCCTTAACCTCCCGAAAATTTGCTAGCAGAAGCCATGGACACCTCCTGAAGTTATCCATGTCCTCGCTTTTCTTCAACTGACTTATTTGGTTGACACTGTCGTTCACGTCAGAACTCATGCCGCGGCGCGGCGAGATTAGTTAAATTAGTTAAGTAGAGAAATAGATAAATTACAGTTCCCGACCGAGACGTATAGATTTGTATGTATCCCCCTAGTCTGTTCTGAGCTGGTTACCGAAAACAGACTGAGATGTTCAGTGTATATATTTCCTACCTGGGGAAGGGGTCTCCCTCCAGAAAATAATGAAATCTAGAAAGTAACGGCCTCTCAAAAACCATCAATTTCGTGCCAGATTAGAAAGTCTCAAGCAGTTAAGATCGTTTCATGCATTTTTACAGGTTTTTTTTAAAAATTCCTTTTAGGGAATTTTCCTGAAGTCAATTGTTACATTATTTGAAAGAAAGTGAAATATAATCGGAAGAAAATGTGTGTTACCTTTAATTTGGCACATGACTGTACATGTATATAATCGATCGGAACGTTGACTGTGATGTTAAATTATGTTATTATTGGGAATGTCAGAATCGGGGTTCTCCTCTGGCCAGGCCTATTTTCATTGGTTTCGCCTTGGAAATAGACCTGTCTTGGGGAACCTGAAACTTGTATCTATAGCTGTAGTCTACCGGAAAGGCCTCAATCTTGAGAATAAACTTTCGGGTTGAAAAAACACGGCTGTTTCATTAACTTTAAGCAGCTCCTGAGTTAAGTTAAGGAACGATCAAGATTAATTTTTTTCGGGAAATCTTAGCTAAGGAATTCCTTAGCGATTTTAAGTTAAGGAAATATTTAAGTTAAGGAACGTTGATGAAACTGGGGCCAGATAATAAAAGAAACACCAAAGCAAACTGCAGAGAAAATTTATTTCAGTTAAGATCAATGGCTTTATACAAGCACGTCTCTGATGAAATCAAATAATCTATTAAATGGGTCAATACATTTTAATTTATTCTATATATTAGTAGAGACACAGATTTATTGTGAGTATAATTTATTTTTGGAAAAAAAGAACTGATTAATTTCATCAAGTTTCTGAAGCATTATTGTACCCTGTATTCGGTTACTGAAGAAACAGACCTCCCTTTTCAAAAATAAATAAAATAAATAAATATCGTAACCTGCTAATATTGTATTGAATATAGCAATTTATCATATTCATAAATTAAACACATAAATACCCTGACACTTTAACTATAAAATATACATGCTCCAAGTCAGGAACCGTTACAGTAGTGCATTTCACAATTATTTTATGTTTTTTAGCAAAAAAAAGGTCTATTTTTTTTTCGCATCGCTCCGCTCGGCGAAAGATTTGATTCTACGCCCCCTCCTTCAAATATCCTAGAAACGCCCCTGGCGGTAGTCATTTTCTTCGGGGTGAAAGCTGGGACGCGCATGACTTTTGAAGTTAAATGTGTATTTCTCTATTCCTCATTAACAAGTGTAGTACACACGTCCCTTATTCCTTTACGGAAAACACTTCCGGTTTTAGGTGACGTCATCTAAAAATAGACAGGTAAATTATCATAGGTAAACTTTACTTTGCAGTAGTCATAGTGTGGATTTTTATCATTTTATCAACAGGTGATATGTTATGTAGAAACCAATCGCTCGTGTATACCTGTCGACTGTGTGCTACCTGAAATATACGTACAGGTGAGGAAAACAAAAAGCGGTGACGTCACAGGGCCGAACGAGTGAGAGAACCGACAGGTTTGGCAGGGTGTGACCGGTACATACACAGGGAAATACGCTTCAGAACAACATGGAGGACCTACCGGGCTAAACTCGCTTACAATCTTCCACCGACATATTCAACAAGGTAACGTAAATATATCATTAATTACCCATCTCAGGTGTGAGAAACACCTCGTGCCGACCTTGGCGGTTCGTGAACTCGCTGTTCAATAATAACTTGATTGACAAGTTTGGCGGCCATGATAAGTACATGTATATATGTATTTTTTACATAAATATACAGTAATAAATAACAGAAAGTTCTGTGAATGTGTTCTGGATAGGTGACAGGACAGGTAAATGGTGTAGAAAATGTACATGTGGCACCTACAGTTCAGGTATATGTAGCCGTGCAAAGGTATGTGATAAAACATACACATGTACCCGGGTGTTCTGACACGGGTGGGATTGCCCAATATACGGGGTACCACACAGGTGTGACCACAGTGTACTCTAAATTACATACCTGTGTGTACCTCGAATATACCTGTCATGTAGGTGTTCATTAACGATATGACTTTTATCATAATGAAAGAGGTTTATATGGGTGGGTGTAGAAAAAAAAGTTCTTTGGCAGGTGAGGAATTTATAGGGAGGGGGGAGGCTGGAGGTTCAATAACCATTTGGTTGACTATTCTCTTCATATAAACATGTTAGAGTCAGGATTATTTATGTGTTAGAAAAGTCAAATAAATTAATATGAAAATAGTTAAGACATTTTTATTTCTGCCCCAGCTAATATTGGTATTGAAGTATATGATGTTAATTCTTAGTTTCACTTTGTCAGCTTAAGTATCCATGCAGATAACTCAATTTGATCACTACAGTGAGTGGTGCACAGGAATGAGTTTTGTAATGTGTATTCCCTATACCATGTACACATGATGAATCACCGGGCTGATCATGTTGTCAATATGACTCTGACAATATCAATATGTAACCACACAATTGACATATTGATAACTACCATGCATGTCCAGCTGTCAGCATTTCACAATAAGCTGATCAAACTCCAATCTTTTTTGTATCTAGGTAGACCTGTGCATTGCCATGTATAATCAGGATGACGACAATGACATATCATTACACCAGTAAAATTCAAGAAACAGTGTGACTGTGCATATTTTACGAAAGAAACATGGAGATCAGTGTTAACATAAAATTGTTGAAAGATTTTACAGTCGATTTTTATTTACATGGTTTAGTTTTCAATAACAACAAGCTGCCGTTAAATTGTCTGACACATTCCTGTAGTATTATTACTTAATAAGACCCTATAGCCAAAAATTAAGAAACTTCCCCAAAACCAAATAACATTAAGCCGCCCAAGGGACATTTACCACACAGTAAGCTGCATACCTCAAGGACAATTACCACTAAATAAGCTGTACACCACAAAGACATTTTCCACTAAATAAATTGTATACCACAAGAATATTTACCACAAAATAAGTTGTATAAGCTGTACACCACAAAGACATTTACCACAAAGTAAGCTGTATACCACAATGACATTTACCTCAAAGTAAGCTGTACACCACAAGGACATTTACCACAAAGTAAGCTGTATACCACAATGACATTTACCACAAAGTAAGCTGTATACCACAATGACATTTACCTCAAAGTAAGCTGTATACCACAAGGATATTTACCACAAAGTAAGCTGTATATCACAAGGAAAATACCACAAAGTAAGCTGTATACCACAAGGACATTTACCACAAAGTAAGCTGTATACCGCAAGGACATTTACCACAAAATAAGTTGTATAAGCTGTATACCACAAGCACATTTACCACAAATCAGATAATACCAAAAGGACATTTACCTCAAAGTAAGCTGTACACCTCAAGGACATTTACCACCAAGTAAGCTGTTTACCACAAGGATATTTACCACAAATCAGATAATACCACAAGGACATTTACCACCAAGTAAGCTGTATACCACAAGGACATTTACCACAATGTAAGCAATGTTCTATAGCTAGTACAATCACACCTGAAGCAAAGTGCATCACTGTGTTATTTACCAAATAGGAAGACCTACATCTTTTGGATCAATTTAGTTTTTTTGATGGCGTAAGATATTGCCAGATGTACACATGTCAACATTTATTTTGTAATGACCCCTCAAGTCAGAGGTCAGTTTACTGATCTACAACTTAAATGGTTAATAAAATTTTGAAATCTCCTTAAAAAAAATTCAGGACCCAAATTGTCTTATTTGATTTACAATTAAATGCACATGTACCATATTTACCATAGTTAGCTCCCAGGGTACTGGAAAATTAGCTCAAGTGGACATTTTTTATGCTAAAAAAGCAAGTATTGTCAGTTGCTGTAAAGGAAACATTTTTTTTCTAAAAACTTTAGAAAAAAAGTTTTGTCAGGTTTTGAGACAGTAGTGTCAGCATAAAGTGTATATTGTTAGTACTATTTTTGTTATTTGGATAGAGCTTGAAAGGAGGGTGTTTGGGAAAAAGGTCAGTTATGATTTCGTTAAGTGGCCAAAATAGGTGAGACACTTATTACAGTGAATAATATATACCTAATTTCTTTTTTTTTGCTCTGCCTGAAACTACGTAATTGTGTAAACATTTATGTAAATTGATTTTTAGCTGTGCATCAATACACATAGGTATATATACATCAAAATCTCACTTTTGAATAATGCCTTGAAATTTTGTTACTTTAATATTTATTTTTCCCATAAATATCAAACTGCTCAACATTTTTTTTATTTCCTGGTACTTGAATTTAAAAGTCTAAATTTCAAATTTGAAAGTGTCACGAACGTGCATAAATAAAATTTATTCAAATTATTAGGAAATAAACAATTTTTATTTTCTTTCTAAAAGCGGTTAGTCATAGTGACAATTTGACGTGTATCACAAGTATATTATATATATATACTGATCTGTGTAAACCTGTTCAGTGTTGATGGAGAATCTAACTGCATCATATGCACTTTGACCTTTGACCCCTATAAAATTTGGAGATAAGATCAAAGAGAAGTGTTTTATCTGTGGATACTTATAAGCACACAAGGTAATAAAGAAACTGAAACTAGACACGGGTCAGCCTCACCCCTATATTTTCAGATACCATATTTCCCCCATCTGATTGCTTTCAGTTGTGCCCCTTGACTGAGTTAAAAGTCTTTCTGTGAAATTTAAACATGTCAAAATACAAGTAAAATAGCATATCATTTCAAACCCAATAGTCATGAAAGCAAAATTTTGGAAAGTCAAAAGCAATGATCTCGTCATGCAAGTGTCTACTGAAAGCCCTTTCCTACTCGCAAGAAACAGGTGCATTCAAATACTTTTCAACATTGTTTCGGGATATGACCGAGAGAGATTGACCATTAGGGCTTGATCTGGACAGTTGTGTACATGTATATGTACACCGCTGTACTGTGTACAAGTATTGTTTGTAACTGTTTCTTGTATTCACTTCTATACACCTGTGCTTATCTCCACACAGGTGCCGAGAAACCTAATGAGTATCAGTTTGAATAATTCATTTTGCCCTGCTTGTTACAGAGGCAGCAGAAATCAATGTGACCTGGGTTTATTCACCATCTCTTGCTGTCTAACTCTGTACAGGGGGTCTACGCTTACGTACCCAATCATCTACACATACCGACACCGATTCCCGCCCTAGACTCTTACTGTGGGTAGGGCCAGGTCTCGGGTAGCTGCATATCCTGACAAACGCACCATGATTTTGCATACTTCCAACCCTGATTATTGGCTTTCTCCATGAACCTTTGGCTGCTATTGGGTCAAAGTTCTCCCTGAATTTCATCTGCCTTACCTGGCACATAATACCACTATCTTGTATGCAGTAATCTAAGAATTCTACCTCGCTGATTCTTGGAAATGAGCACCACCTGCTCTATTTCCATGATCGTGAGAGAAACCTCGATCTTGTAATGTGGGTCTCTTTGCAGTATATGCGTTTAGACTTCTTGGTGACACAAAAGACATCAACGTAAATCTTTGCCCATTGCAACAATTAATTGGTATCTTATTTAATTCCATCTAAATTATATTTGCCCTTTTTCAAACTTTATGGTGTACTGAATTCTGAAGTGAGATAGTTTTGAATATGCGATATAAAACATTGTGCTGTAACGACTATACTCCCTAACCGGTGTCCTGAAAAGTTACAAGACAAACACTTCTGAAAGTCACAATTATAATTTTACCCCAGATGCGTTTAGAAGTATTAAGGATTATTATTGAAATCCAGATCTATACCATTATACTACAGTATAATGAATGGTTTGTTTTATTTAGAGTGAGAAAACAGTGTTGAAGGAGCTTTGGCTGAAAATTTGGACACCGTCTGTATATGCTTCAAGTACATTACACGACAATTTTCATACATTTTGGTGTAGTGTATGTATGTATATATGATTGAAGTTCTCTTTCAATCTTTACTGATGACCCTGGCTGATGAACGAGAGGTCCACAAACCCTCAAAAAGAAAAAATATCTTCACGCATGTTAAATATTCTACCTTGCTGATTCTTGTACTGAAATCTTGAATAATGTCCCATCTGTCATTCTGCAAAATCATGATATCATCAATTTCAGTTTTTTTTTTCAGTCTTAACTATTTGTTTGCATTGTTATATAGATTTCAGTGTTTATAAAGACTGCTGTTTTATCAGTTCAGTGGTTATGTATTGACACAGCTCCAGTGGGTGGTACAGCTTTTACTGTAGGCCTCCAGCTGGGTGATAACGATTTTATACCAGTACATTTTATATGTAGTGTCTTCCGGGTAACTGCATGTTTAACTTTTGGGCTAGGTGTTGGTATAGAACCATGATCTATGAATTATTTAATTCATTTTTAGTAACGAGTACAAAATTAGATAAGCCATGATTCTTTTGTATGTACGTAATGAATCAATCTTCATTAGACATTTAATTCATTTAATTTGCAAAGAATACAAAAAGTTTAATTGAAAATAAAATCATTTTAAAGTCAGGTATGATTTTTTATGTTTAATTGGAATTAAATTTGAATTCTGAAACTATATCCTGTTTCGATTGATATGTACTAAATACGACTTTATGGAAAATTCTTAACATAATTAACAGGATAGGATATAATTAATGATAGCAGTAGTTTGTAATAGGAGTGAAACATTACTATACGTTATCCTGCAGTGTTACTAGTTGTACTGCAGAATGTTTTCTTTCAGTTCGGTACACAATATAGGAACTGCTGAAGAAGATATACATTTTGTTCAAGCACTGAAAGATTTTACAAAAATACCAAGTGTTGTAATGTAAGCAAGTCTCTAATTGGTTCAATTAACACTTGAAATGAACCAATCAAGTGCAGCATTATATAGATGCTTCCTGTATCTTACTGTTTGTTACTTTAGTTACTCAGAACAAAGAATTCAATAACACCAGTTGCTGAAAAACGGATATAAACATTTAAACTGTTTGACAAGCCTCTGGTATTCTTTTATGCCAATATACTGAACAACCCCCCCTCCCCGAACAGTCGATTACCTTGTAAGTTAAATTATTGCACCACGTAATAGTGACCAAACCCTGATGAGTAAAGCATATTATACTGTTTTACTCCTTGTGTGTATATATATATACATTTCTATTGCATGTTCATCTATAAGCATTATCATAAGAATTTGCATTCATGGGGCTATGAATGCAATTCGATCTGTCTCATTTTGAAGCTTAAATTCTCCTCCCACTTGGAATGACATGAGACAACCATTAGAATCAAACATTGTGGTGACGTCAGGCTGCTCCAGGAAAAATGCTGTTCTATCCTTATAAATTTGATGCTAAAGGTGCCTTTACTTACTCACCCCTGAAGACATTTGAGCTCTTCCAATTCAAAGGAAGGAATAGTTCATTATGAAATTTCAGGGGTGAATGAGTTAATAATATAACGGCTATATACTCCCAATTCAAATTTCCACCCTTAATTTATCCTTGCCATCAAAATTTTAGGACATTTACCACACACGGGCACTGCACTATTTAATGCACCTACAGTACATTTTGTACATACACTTGAAAATCTCTGTGTTATACATATATACAGCACCTTCAGTAGGACAAACTGATAATCTCTGAGAAGTATTTCACATGCTAGGAGCATAACCTGACTACCTGATAATGTATTCTAAACCAGGAAGTGGAAATCCTTAGCGAGGTATATATCATTTATGTATGCATTATAATTTCCTCATCTAGAATTATTCTCTTCTTTATCATAAACTAATTATTTATGTACAAAATCTAATCAGTCACATCCCTCCCTTCTTTAAACATTCCGGGTAAACTTTCAAAAATTATATGCATTGTTATCTTTCCTAACAGGAAAAACTAATTTCAAACTCTAGTATAATTTTAAATAGTGTTCATCTAAACAGGTATATCAAGTTTATACTTACGAAAGACTGATTTTTTTCATTTATGTGTTTATATTCATTGAAGTTGCTTTATGCACATCCATGAATGGCAAAATCTATAGAGTTTTACATATGACACATAAACTTTATATTAACTAAAACTAATTTAGTAATTACAGTTATTTATTATAATAAGTTTTTGTTGGAGTAATTATTGATGATTCGTTTATCAGTTTTGAATTTGTAAATGAGATAAATAATACCTTTTTTTTATTTGACAATGAAACATATGCATGACCTAGTCAGTATTTTTTTGCCTAAGTTTTACATCCGAAAAAAGGCTGCTTCCTCTAGCAAACAAAGAAGAAAATAGAGGAATATGTTCCCAATTTCAATGAAAATAATGCTATGTTTCCCAATTCATGCAGGAACAGCTGGCTGTTGTAGGATTCAAGTAGAAAAAATTCCACTGGTACCCAAGGGGAAGACATTGTAAGTGGGCGTGGCCTGAATTTTTTTCTTTCAAATAAATAAAATAACTAACATTCTTCAGAGGGCTTAATATAGTTACCCAATTGGGATGCATATCATGTATGTTTTTGATCACATGACAATTTAACACAATTAAATTATTTGAAGATGAGTATCAAATTATTTACCAGGTAGGGAGATGGCACGGTGTATGGTAATTAGGTATGTTTTAAGATAAAAGGGGTTGAACAAATGTTGTCTCCTAGCCTGCAGTTTTAGTGTGTTGGTGAAGGTTTCTGTGTTGTACAGACAGTGTATTTGATGGTATTTTAAGTCACTTGCCTGAAGGGTGGAAACCAACCTGGTTATGGTGGAGCTGGGTGACACAAAAAGGGTGTGGCTTATTATATTAAAATACGTACATATCAAATATTTGATGAGTTAAAATTATCTTGCTGTTTTAAGTCAACTGGTCATTTGTGTTTGAGCAAATTTCAGCACTCCTGTTTGCTCTGTAATATTCAACGCATAGACAAATCCATTATTTTTACAAATTAGGGACAGATGTGTTATTACATACGAATAGGTATATTGACATACCTAAGGAATGTAGACTTAGTCATTTTATTGTAGTCTACCTGTGTGATACACCTGTAGAATTTAGTGACAGGGGACTCAATAGGTATCGGCCAAATGACCCGTGGAACGTTACACCTGGTTGACCAGCGTTTGATCCCAGGTATATATTGTCCAAGTGAATGGCACACAGACTAAATACAGGAGAGGTCAGAGTATTATGGGATGTCATGTCTCGCTGACTCTTCCGCCAGGTGCGTGCAGAGTAGCTGTGTATTGATATAACATTCCCTAAATGTCGGAAAAAAGGTGTCGAAATATGTGCTTACCAGTGTATATATATATTTTTTCTTTTTTGCTTGGTTAAAGAAAGCTAAAACCGGCAATGTATATAATTGGAAATATGGACGGAGTTCTTAAACATTTGTATCCCACAAAGACAGCTATTATATTTAATAAGGTTTGTCATTATCTGCAGGATCGGTATGATCAGTGATTTTGATCACAGAATTTTTAGAATATGTTACTATCAGAGCTGTACCATTATTATTCCTCAGATTATTTAAAGACTCCAAGCTGTAGCTATAAAGACTCTGTGTCTCAATGTGTGTTAGATGAACACCCCTGTGAATCACAGATCAAAGTAAATAAAATGTAGACATATTGGCCACTACACAGAGAATGCCTAATCAAATAAGAAGTGACTGAAATAATTGAGCAAAAGTATCATTGTCAATATCATTAGCATATTTTAGGAGGTATGCCAGGATTGGGTTGCCCCCCCCCCCCATCCCTTTCACATAATGTAACCTAAACAATTGTTTCATAGCTACAATGTACAAGGGAATTCCATTTCTAGAATAAATCACCTGGAATCTGACTCTGATCTGAATAAGACCTGAATATTGGGCCGAAGTGGACATCCCGAAGTGGACATCCCGCTGCCCGCCTTCCAATAAATGATGTTATAGTCCAAGCCGAATGGTTAAACTATGACACAATTATTTCACCCTGTAAAATAAAGGACGGATTATAAACAAATGATAAATCGGTCTAGCAACAGGAATACAGCTTGCTAGTTTAGAGCAATTTCTTTCAAGTCAGATCAAATTATTTTCCTATTAGAAGGTCAATAAATGGTTTGTAATATTTGTAAAGCTGAAGTAGATAACATGATTACTGAAATCTGTATTTATAAACAGATTTGAAACTTTTTATTATAGATTTCCTTCATATATAGTATCCAGTTACTCATTTTCAGTGTCCGAAACATGAAGAATTGTCAAGTGTAATTGTTTACAACAGGTACAACAATGTTGTCATTTGATGTTTTGCTCAGATTAATGTTGGGCCCTTGCAGGAATTACTTGTGGTGTCTGCTGATGGGACATTAAAATGGCTAGGGCTGTCCTTCTGCCCGCATTGTTCTTCTGCCCGCATTGTAATTATTGGAATCTCTCCTGTTTCTTTTTCTTTCCATCCTATTGTTTTATTTTAAAATGGTGTCTCACTTAATTAATGCGCCCACCCTCATTTGACCTTAGATTGTAGATGGTGTAAGGGCATTAAGCCACAAGTATTCTCTGTGTATATAATGCATTCTATGCATGACCTGTACATCAGTTTTCAACAACGACTTTGCCTGTAGAGGTCAATTGAGGTCACTAGAGTTTATAGAGGTCATGGGGTCAGAGGTGAGCGTACTAACCCCCCCCCATTCATCACTGTAATAAGACAATCGGACATGTACAGTGAATGTCTTGTTATACATCACTGCTTGATGAACGTCACTTTATGACCATTTTGACCACTAGCACAATCACTGCCTTGACCATCATGATCATCTATATATGACCATATACTGACCACTGACTTTCTTGACCATATGATGCATGGTTATTTTGATCAGCTGGACTGATAAAAGTTACAGGTGTAAAAAGCAGGAGTGGGTGTTTGGTGGTATTAAAAAAACACACCAAAAAAAACAATTATTTAGAATTTTTCATAGAAAGGTTATAGGGTATGCCTTATTAAAAACTAAGGTTTCGATTCCCCCCATCATGCCAGCAGAAGATGATTTCGTAAATAAATATTCTGATATATAGAAATAAGGATATACGGTACCTTTGTGAACATGTTTTGTTTAAATCTCTGCATGTAGTTTGTTGTGGGCAACATAATTTCAAGTTTGATATTGTTTTAAATTTTGTTATATACGTAATAGTTTTTATTGACCTCACATAAGAGTACATATTTATGTATTGGTACACAGGTGGTGCACACTATAATATGATGTGTATGTATATACTATATATTATTATGGGTCAAAGAAGTAATATAGACGGTAAAATCCCATATAACACTGGATCCTAATGGAGGTATGTCCGTAGGATACAAATTACTTAAAATAGTATATGGGGCAAAGAAGTAGGTTGTCAAATTTTTCGAGGCGATCCGCTCCTTTATCAAGACACAGTGAAACAAAACAGTTACATGTACATATATATCATATTACTATATATATTATTAAAATATAGTGTGTCCAGAACCTGTGTATTTTAATATATGAATTCATGTACATATACTTCATGTTACACATTTTCATGTGTCTGAGTGTTGGAAATAAAATCTGAAATCTGAAAATTTATAAACAGACAAGAAAACAGTCCGAGAAAAGAAACACCTTATCAGTGTGCTATGATCAGTAATAAGTATGTTTACCTGGTGATGTCATTTGGTCTCGCCCTACATGTACATTACATCCGTAAAACAGTATTGATTTGACAGGTAACAAATCTACAGGTACACAACGCTGCCCAAAGCAATACCTGAGTTGTTTGAAGTGCTCATCACAAGATAAATGCATTTTATTGCTTGCTGATAAGAAACAAAACAAAATAAACATTCTTTTTAAGATTTTTTCCTTCCTCCATGTAACATACAGTTTATTTTGAATCCCTTTTCTCTATCTGTGAAAATGTTGACTGGTAACTACTGTACCTAACCCAGTTCTTTCATTTACGGTAAAGAGTATCAGTTTAAATTGCAAAAAAAAGGGTTCCACAATTAGAGCTAACCCATTCACCCCTAAAGTTACATTTGAACTTTACCAAATCAAAGACTAGGCAAGTCCAGTTTAAATATGTAGGGGTGAATTAGTTGATAGGCTTTAACGTTGGGTGTAGCTCCCCCCCGTATTCTTCAAAGGACAGGTATCAGTCTTGCTATTGGTCAGATTTTTAACCTGAAACCAAGTCAATAGCATACTGTACATGTAAGCCTTATAGACTTGGACATGAGATGTTCGAGAAGTGCATGCACATTTCTAGAGAAGATATATCAAGAAAGCAGAACCCCAGGATATTGAGGTTGAAATTTATACCTTAATTTCATTTACCGTTAAAGTCACCTTGCATTGCCAGGTGTAAATCCAGCTTGATAAAATTCTGAGGGAGATTTTAAATTTGTGACAGAAATTGTAGTAAGCTATTATAAACTGACATCCAGATACAATACCGTTCACGGCTACACAGCTGTATGAATAGGTAGCAGCATATACTGGTAAGAAATTCTGTGAAAGACCGGCATCTTTCTATGAAGATTATTTCACTTTCATATGTTCACGTCTCAGAAAATGCTTAAGATTGACAATGCATTGGGCCATTACATAGCATTGTATGGAATGAAGTTTGGATGTGCTGAAGGCACTATACTTGACTAATAGCTTGATCATAGCCTTAAGGTTATTCTTATCAGGGAAATTTTACCAGATAACACCATATTGGTACACATGGTGCAGTGGTATAGATCGATACAGTTGCAGTGATACATACAGTAACTGCACCCAGGCAAATATACTGCAGCGTTACTGTTGCGAAATAGTCACTGTAGATTAAAATTTGGCCTTAATTCTTTGGACATGCCCTGCTACGAAGTGGTGCATGGCATTAAAATCTAATCCATGAACTTTTTGCGTTTCGTTCAGTTCTGGACTAACTGACAGTTTATCATGTAGCTACTTAATGGAGCTTACAGAATGTCAAATAACTCACATGCTTATATATATGTTCAACAGCAGGACTTATTGGCCTTTGACCTTGACCTCTGTGACTTTGCTATATTTTTAAGTGTTGGAGAATGGGTTTCTGTCTTACAGATATGTTTCTAGCTTAAAAGTTTTCCTTGATAATGGGTGTGAATTCACTACAAAATATTTTAAATAGTTCATGTATCACACAAAGTACTTATAGACTCATGGCTGTAATTAAAAGTGTAGGGTAAAACTATAACACTGATCGAGCCGATATTCACAGGATTTTACCAATGAAGGGTAAATTTTGACAAGGCGATCTGGATGATTTACCAAACAAACAGCAGGAAGTCAACTGTAGCATTTTAATAGAAGTACAGTCAGTTTAATGTATAAAAATTGTTGTTTCGTAATT